GGTAAATATTTATCAAATTGCTTTGGCTTTGACTGCTGCAGTTTGGCTTTGAAATTATTCACGCAGTCAGATTTATGGTACGAGTACTAAAGATAATAATGCCAAAACAAACAACAGCAACAGCAGCAACAACTAAAGGAACAATAACAATAACAGCAACAGCAACAACACAACAACACACACGCTATGCATAATTATTACACATAAAATATGTTGCATAAAATCGTATTAACTGCAATTTGGTCAGCATTTTCGTTCATTAGCAACAGCCGCTGTCCAAAATACACAATGCCATAATTTAGATGGCCCTGCTGTGAAGAGCAGCGGGGCGGGGGGAGCGGTGTGCGGGGTGACGGTCGAGGGGTGTATTGAATATTGGACATCCGGCATTGTTGCCTGTAGGCCCGTTGCATTGTTGCTGCCATTACGCATTTGGCAGCAGTTGCATTTAAGTCTATTACATTAATTATCGCAAAACAAATTGAGGCAAACACACACAAGTCACTTCACCTAAGTGTATACAGTGAGCATAATCCTAAACAAGTAGGAGTGCAGCGAACAACGACTGCATGACATCCTGTAAATAGCTGCACAATAACCAATAATATTGAAGAAATAAAAGAATATTGAGGATAGACACACAGACGTTGGCCAGACAAACATCGCCTTATCCACTCGATTAGTGATGCCGATCAAGAATATATATTTATTTTATAAGAGACATCTGCTTCGTTGCGTTAAACATGGCACGGGAAAGGATATAGACTATAGTGGGATTTAAACAACACAAATGAGGCCTTGCAATAAGCTCTAAAGATATACTATTTATGTTAACAGCCTAGATTCAAATATATACCCGTTCTGCCTCAGTTATAGGGTGTACTGACAACCAACGCAGTGATTATATTATTAATTAGTTATGTCATTGCAGTGCGCATATTTGCCAGAAACAAAGTGATTTACTGCACATCAATATATGAGTACACAGAGAGAGAGAGAGAGAGAGAAGAGAGAGAGAGAGAGAGAGAGAAGAGAGAGAGAGAGAGAGAGAGAGAGAGAGAGAGATAGAGTCAGTGAGGGGGGATCAAGGTGAGGGTTACATTTAGCTTGTTTGGCTTCATTTGTCTGTTTGCTTTAGCTGCATATTTGATTTTGGATTCCAGTTGCATAATTGCCTGTGGGGCACCAAGCTACTTTTGGGTTAAGATTAACTGCATCGAATGAAATTCAGGCCAGATATAAAAAATGCTTTTGCCAGTTCCGATTAAATGCATAAAAAGTTGTATTGTCATATCCTTGATATTAAATATTTAAATCAAACACCTAATTGATTATAATTGCTTGCATAATTAGTTATTCCGTAATGTTGTCATTCCTAAACTTTTCTCCTCTGGAATCTGGAAATCAACTGAATGCGAAAAAAAATCGCTAATCGGGCGAAAATAGCCAGACAATTATCTGTTTTAACAGAAAAATTAACTAAAAACATGCCAAGCTACACATTAATACTTCATTTCTTCAGAGTAGAAAGGAAAGCGTTAAATTTTGCTTGACACATCAGAGAACAAAATTCAGAAATGTGCTGCAAAGAAGTTGTTATCATTATCATCAGAGCCAACACATTCATTTTCGCTGCAATTTGGTTACTCATTGACGGATCATAATTATATTTGATAATGTTGACTAATTTAAGTAATTTCCATAACCCATTAAACTATGTCAGCTTGCGGATATCAAATTCGAGACAAAGAATGAGTATTATTTAAGCGGTTTAGTATTAAAATTTCCATAAATTTAAATCTTTTGCATGTAATTTCTTATATTACTTCTCTAGACACACTTCGAGACAATGAAAGTGGGTTTTATTAAACCGTTGCTCGTCATAAATAATAATCTCGAACTCCTTGTGGTAAGCTGTTTAGTGTTTATTTCTGAAAAGTGGCCACCAAATGTGAAATGAAAATTAATTATAATAAATACACGCAGAAGGACTCACGCACACGATTGACAGCATTGCGTGCCAACAAAAGAAAAGCGTATTTAAAGATTAGTTAATTATGTTTTTAGACTCTGATACAGAAGATATCAGAGTATATTGGTTTTGTGCAATGTCCGTCATGACGTCTGTTTGTCTGTCCGTCCGTATCAACTTACCTTTTTTCAACTTTTAACATATAATTGTCTGTGCCGGCGTCAGACAAAGTGTTTAAATTTTAATACTACGTCGATTACGAACTATTAAATCGATGAAATCACTCATTTCAAATTGATAAAACCGCACATAGCTCACAATTTTGTAGGTGCACTTACCAAATTTGGTTGGTAGATTGATGACAAAACTTCTGCAATTTAAAAATTAAAGTTACCAAAGGAGATGGATTACTAGCAACGTCCTTCGAGGAATGGAAAAAATTCTTGACCACGTCCACCCTGTTCCTTGTTGCCTCTTATCAGCTGGTGTGACATTGGTATCAGAGTATTTCACAGTCGGTTGCGGGCGCCTTCAACGTTCCCACTTCTTTCTCTATTTGTAATTTGAATTAATAATAAAAATTCAATTGTTAATAAAGTTAAAGTAAACACAATATTTTTTCACAAGCATAGATGCGTATAAAACATATACTGCATAACTGGGACACATCTGCTGACTGGCATTAATTTATCCCCACCCGTATTGCATACATTTAAATTCCAATAAATCATAAATGAAAGGAAAGGTGGCAGGGGAGGTAGTGTGGGAATTGGAGGGGGTGACATGCGCAAGTTTTAGCCTCAACTTTTCACATTAGACGACAAAGTTTTCATTGTATTTTTAGAATCTGTGCAGCTATGTGTTTAAATGTTATTTCGAAGCTTAAAGAGGTTTAAAGTGGATCACAACAATAACAAAAAATAAATGTTTATTTATGATAAGTAAAAAGCCAGAAAATTTATATGCCAAACAAGTGAATCAGTGAAATGAATGCAATAAAAAATGCCACACGCAATTAAAGCAAACGCAATGGTCAAATTAGGCCAGACGCACATTTAAAAATAATCAAATAATTATATGTAAGCGGTGCGTGGCATGTGCCCCAAAAAAAAAATATATAGAAAACAAGAAAAAAAGCATGCGTAGAGGCCCATTAAAATAGCCAATTTTATGAACAGAAATAATGCTTTGGATAGCCATTAAAATTGCTCATAAGGTAAACACGCCGCTGTTTTATTCTTTATTAAGGAATTAATGCACCAGCTCAGCCAGTCGATGAGTAATTGGTCAATAGTACATTATGGCCAAGTGTAATTACGGCCCAAAAACGCGAGAGATAGATACATATGTATACACACACACACACACACACACACACACACACACGCAAGCATTGGCAGCGCTCATAATCCATCTTCATCGATAAAACAAACAATTTGCTCACACATCAATCCATCGACAAGTACATTTTCATTGATGTGAGTCTATTTTTGAGATTCGAAATATTTAGCAATCAATTAATTGATTTTCAATATGGAAAATTAACGTATTTTTTCAATTTTCAAATTTGTTGTATACGTTTGAGCGTTTCCTCTTCACATTGGCTAAGTGGCCAAGAGGCAAAAAAAAAAAAGAAAGAAAAGAAAAGAAAAGAAATTGTTTTCATGTTAATTTCAACATTTTTACGCTACGCCGGCAAAATGAGCATGTCATATGACGGCATCTATCTTTGGCGCTTATTTTTCTGCCTCATATTTGTCTAGAATGAGTATGCATGTGAGAGTGTGTTCTGGGCGTGTGTGTGCGTGTGTATGTGTGTGTGTGTTGTGTCTCATAGACATGCCGCTGAAATACTAATTATGTGCGCGATTTAAATAGATTTTTAATTTATTTAGCTAGGCCATCATTTTGGATGAAATAGAAATTGTAGGCAAATGTTTTATGTTGCGCCATCGACTCTGCCTGCCGATTCGTCTCCACTTGCCTCTCTCTCTCTCTGTGCAACATAAAGCAGCACGCACACGCATCAAATGTTGGCTGCTTCAAGAGGTGATGTGTGTGATAGGCGGATTCTGCATTTTGACAGGCCCACATCATTTCAACTGTGCTTGTTTTGAGCTGTAGCTGACGCAGCGGAAGTGTTTGCGTACAGCGAGTGGAATCCACACACACACACACACACACACTCATATATATATATACATATGCATACATTTTTAATTATTTGTTTTACGCACACTAATAAGGGCAAATGAGGCATAAACATTGCCTAATTATAGCAGTCGGAGTGCTTTACATGCACATGAATCTGACTCATAATTATTGCCAAAGCACTATGCACTATGCATAATAATATTTGCTGATTGGATAAATGGCAAAAGATGGGAGATGCTCATTCCTCCCACCTGAGAAGCCAACAATCCAAGTAAGAATACTCTAGTCGAACGGTGTTTCTCAGGAACATCCTCACATAAAAATTATAATTTAGATCTCTTACCAGAAAAACTTGCCAACCACAAATTCTCTAGCCAAAAGGGAACATTTTGTGGCCATTACCATAAATAAATATTCATTCATCAGGCATTCTTAAAATTTAACAAAGATATGTAAATAATAATCAATGATTGTATCAAATTATTATTACACCTATTCAAAATGCCTACACGATTAAATAAATAAATATACTGAGCAATGTATTTGCTTAAGCCGACAAGACTATCCTAGGCACGCCTGCCAATATCTAATTCAGCTATAAATTTAGAAAACCCACCCATTATTCCTATATAAGCTATAGTATTTAGTAGTTCGAAATTGAAAATTTGTTGTCCAAAGCAAAACGCATAACTGCTAAGTTTGGTATGGTTAACAAAACAGTTTTTCATACTAGGAATGGGATCTATATGATATACTAGTCCGATTTTTTTGTTCAAGTGCTTGCAGCATAGAAATAGCTGCTGTTTAATTTAGTAACTTTGATAACCTTCATACAAGAACAATTTTTAACGGTTTTTCGTTTCTTTGATTTCAGGTGAAAATTTGGTTTCAAAATCGTCGCACAAAATGGAAAAAACAGGATAATGTCACAAACAACGAGGCTGCCGAGCACAAATCTACCAAGCCAACAACAGCAACAACAACAACAGCGGAGCAGCAGCAGGCTAAGCAAAATAGCAACAGCAACAACAATAGCGTTGCTGATGATGCCTCCAACCCACCAGCAATCACGGCCAGCAATGTTGATGTGACGCCGAAAAAGTCATCCAATGGCCAAGCGGATAAATCGCGCAACAACAACAACAGCGGCAACAATGGGTTAACAGGCGGTAAAGTTGGAGACAGCAAATCGCAAGCCAAGCACACGACGACAAAGATTAAAAAGCAATTGAATGCATTGCTGGAGAAGGCAACAAAAGCCGCCAGCAACAACGCATCAACAAATGGAGCCAGCGAAGCAACAACAATTGCTGCCAACAACAGCAACAGCAACAACAACAGTAGTAGCAGCAGAACAGCCGAGAAGCAACAACGCAACACCAATAACAATAATATTGGTGAAACCTTTCATCATCATCGGCTGCACCAGCATGCCATACCGTTGACGGTGGAGCCGGCGGCACCCTTGGAGCAGACCGAAAAGCTGGACATCAAACTGGAGGAGTCGCCAGCGTTGAGCCTGCAGCGAGCAGCTGCTGCGGCAGCAGCCGCCGCTGCAGCACAAGAAAACGGTTGCAGATCACCAGCGAAAGCGTTGCTGGCCGAAATGGATTTTGAGAGTAAGCTGGCCGCCTCGAAGATATCGATTGCACTGGCCATGGCCAACACAAAGTTGCCGAACGATGTGTCGTCTAAAATGGAAAGTGAGTCGGAGGATGATGAGACGGCTAGTGACCCAGGCACCTCGACAGAGGCACAGGATTCACAGGATCGCGATGTGCAATTGGATTAGACTTGTGAATGCCCATTCAAGTCACAACCAATCAGCACCAACGCCAGCACCCCAACACCCCCTCAAACACCAAGCCAGTCAAATTAACTTGTGCCAAAAAGTCGAATATTGCTCAAGCACACGGCCAGCTTCTTCATGCAAAAACATATGTATGTTGTTTGTGTGTGTGTGTGTGCTTGTTAGTTATAAGGCATTTACATATTTATGTAATTTATTGAATGTATATGTATATGTATTTGTATGCTTAAGCACTAATCTTAAGTATAGGCTTTGTAAATGTTGCCATTAGAAACGCATTTTTAAATGTTAAATGAGCTGTATTAAAATAATAATCGAACCTATTTCAACTTTCGAAAATTTCATGTGATAAAGTATACGAAGGGTAGAAAGCGAGCGTCAATAACAGCAACAAAAACAACATAAGAAAACAACAACATCAACAGCAACAAGAATTTGTGAATCCACGTTAATTACAAATTTAAATGTACTACTACACTAACTATAAACTATGCGAGTGTTTAAGCCGAAACAGTCCTAAGTGTACACTGCTATTATATGGAAGATTATAAATACATAAATATTTAATGTGAGTGTTTGTACAAAAAAACAAAACAAAAACAAAACCAAGTACATATGGCACGGTTCAGCAGCCGTTGCATATTTTAAATTCACAAATTAAAATAAACAATTCAGCAACTTAAATCAGAAGGTTTTTTACTTTTGCCATGGGAACGAATTGGTCTTGGCACATTTACAACGCCTTCGGTGGTGATTAGAAACTCGGCGAATGCATTCGGAGTCTCCGGTGAATACAGGATTTCCATTTTGCGAACGGTGATCAACTGATCCCCCTGCTTGTACTGCTTGGGCACCCTGGAGATGCGAATACGTGTCCGGCCCAAATTCGACCACTGTAAGCCCAGGCAAGGCACATCCTGCAGCGCATTGTGATCCGCCTGCCCGCTGGCAGTCATCTGGTTGGTGCACACCACAGCACAGCCATACTTGTCCGCATAGCTGAGCAGCGCATGCACCATGCGGCGCATGTCCCGAGCACGGTCATCAAAGTCGGTGTACAGCCGAAAAATGGCAGCCACCGAGTCAATGATGATCAGACCAATGCTGTGTTCCTGCAGCAGCTGTGACAGCCGATTCTTCACACAGTCCAACAGTGGTTGCTGTAATGTGGAGGAATATTAGTTCAAAATCCACTTGACTGTTATAAGTTCCCTTGAAGGATAGTATTGTGAAGTAGATATAAAGTATATCATCTCATATTATAAAATGAAATATGAAAAATATGTATCTATTGATTCTGGTTGATTTTTTGTGCTTAAATAGTTGTAAATTCGTTTAAAAAATATTCTTCAATTGGCATGTCAACTTACAGTATTTAACGAGTCGAGGCAGCTCGACCATGAGATATTATATCACAATAGGCTTACTGATATTACTTTCTTCGATACTCCGTTTTGGTTAACAACGTCAATATTTAGTAGCCTATCTTTATAATATTTCTACAGTTCATTAATAATATGTATGGCTTATTGGTCGGGGTGCTTCCTCCCGCCTGTTACATAATCTTATACAAATTAATTATACCCTTTTTCCCAGTTTTAATTGGTTCAGATAAGAAGCATTGATTTTGAAAAACCGATTTGTCAGTTGTGAAAACTTGTGAGCAGTAGTGGTTCTAATAATAATAGTAGTTCTAATAATAGTTCTTATGGTTGCCATACGATATAGTGATACGTATGTAGAGAACATACTTATGCCGATTGTAATAATAAATCAGATATTGTTCCTAGTTGTTTTCTTACTGTGACAACTCACGCTTTCATACTGATGCTCAATAAAGATGTTGCCCAAAAAATTAAGCTGCTCCTCGGGATAGCGTGCCTCGAAAGCTTTGCTTATCTGCAGCAGGCGACGGGACGGAAACACATCCTCGGTGCAAATGAATGCCACACCTTTGCCCAGGCCACCGAGTCTTGGCGGCAGTTGCACACTGATCGACAGCTGCAAGAGGATTTGGGACTTGCCGACACCCGAGGCACCACAGATTTCAGTTATGCCACGTATCGAAATTCCGCCGCCAGTGCACTCATCCAGCGATGAACAGCCAAAGGTGAGGCGGGACCACTTCAAGCGGGCGGGGATTTTGAATAGTGCATCCGCTGAGTGCATAACAATTATTACATATCGCATAATTGATATTTATTGTATTTTTCGTTACCTGACGTGGGCGTTTCAGCCAGCCACTTGGCCGCTGCATCCTTGAGAATGCGCACATCCTCTGGACTGCAGCTGTGCACACAAGTATCCAACTCAAACGAACGTGTGTCCAGAAACTTAATCCTGGGCGTAGTTAAGATTGCCTCCGGGGTGAGCACATTGACTAAACGATACCATCGAGTGAAAAACAGGAGAACAACTTGAAGGCACTTTACGCTTCTTACCCTGCCTGGCAATCTCCTGCAAATGCTCCGGCAACTGCCCCAAAAAGTTGGACATCGCTGTGTGCTGGCATGTGAATGAAATATGGATTGCGTGCACAGCAAGAAAACACTTCAGGTGTTTCAACACCTTTTCAATTATCGCCTTGGCAGCGAATAACTATTGATTTAACAATAGTCAGCAAAGCAAAAGCAAAAAGAGGACAACGATCAGCTGTTTTGGAGCAGTGCAATAAGGAAACAACTCAATATGCGTAAATGAGGATAAGTCAACAGTTAAAGCTCGCGAAATAAATGCTCACTATGTATGTTTGTTTTACACAATAATTTTTGTTTTAATCATTTAATTTGCTCAAATGTTGCACAAACTTTAGATAAATAAACAAACACGATCGATAATTCGATAATTGGGGGCAAGCAACACTGCTTCTTGATCGCTTGCGCCTTGCGGAATATTGATGTTGTTGTAGCTGTTGTAGTTGTAGCTTTGTTGCCTGATTTTGTTGCAATTTAGCTGTCGTAGAAATTAACAAACTAAAGCGAGCATTTTACTTTTTGCTGGGCGAGGACAACTCGGCCAGGGCTTTAGCCTCGGCTGCGGCACTGCGCTTCTTCTCCTCGGCCAATTTAGCATCGCGAACGACCTTCTGTTGGGCTTCAATTTCGCGCACCTTCTCCTCCTTCTTGGACAGCCTGCTCTGGTGGGCAGCACCGTAGGCAATGCCTACAAGCAGCAGGGACCATCTTCCCAGCTTGATGAGCGGCGAGACACGAACCGGAGCCTGAGACATATCTGGTTAGTTATGTAATGTACCGAGCAATAGCTGCAAGAAAAACACTCGTGTCAGTTGACCGGCTAATTATATTTGTGCACTGTGAAGCGCCTAAAATCTGTGCTGCGGCACTATCTATATTTTATATTAAGATAATATATTTACCAAAAAGTTATGCGATTTTATGTCCACTACAATCGTAGTATAACCTTAAAGCAGCTGTCAGACTAACAGAGGTGCAAGCGATGCACCAACTATCGAAGTTTCAGTGTTGCAAAACGTATTTTTACTCTTTGGCGGAGAGTATATTTTTTTAAACAACCAAAAACCTTTGATGGGCGACAGCTGTGATGTCTCGGTAAACTATGTGTGAGCTTATTTTTTAGACGCACATATAAAACGTTTTACACATTTGCCAAAGCACATGTAGTAATACAATTTTTAAACGGGCAACTAGTTTTTTTTGAGCCATTCAAACTCAATTCGCAAAAATACCAGGTGAATAACATTCACATTTCCGTTACTTTTGGTATTATCTGGTAACAGTGACTCACTGTACCTGTGTGTACTTGTGACTTGTCACACACCTCTAAGTGTGAATGTCAGAACTAAGCCTGGAAAAAAATTGTTTTGTTAAAAACATGGCGAATTTGACACATAAAAACGTTTGATTAGTGCTCTTTAGGCCAAAATCATAGTGCAAGTGACACTTGAGCATTACACGAAAATACCCAAATAGTCAACGCGTGTGCGTAACATAAAAACTCAAGCAAGAAAATTCCAATACAGACCTTGAGTGGGCCCTCGAATACACTCACACACACACAAACACGCATACATAGAAAGATAAACGGGTTGAAAACGTCACTCGGCAGCGAGCAGTGAGAGTTCCTGAAGTGTTTTTGCAGCTGCTGTTAGCCAAATAAGCACGACAACAACAACAACAAGAAGAGTTAAAAATTGAAACAAAGGACTCACGAAATGGTGAATGTTCCGCCACCGCTCCTCTGCAGCACGCCACCCCCGATTGACTTTGGCGAGGATGACGATGATTCGGGGCTGCAGTCAACGCTGCAACTGGAAGACGCTGACGAATATTCGGAGTATGGCTTAGTCAGCGACACGCACGAAGCTGCGCTCAATGCGAAAGGTAATTAACATATTATAACTGCGCATTTAATAATGTATATTAATTTACATTACATTGTTGTCGCAGTGCTAACGCTGCCAGAATTACCCATATCATCAACACATCAGCCACTGCCCAACGATCTGAGCAACGGTGATGAGAAATCAACTGCTGCACACCCCGTGGAGGCTTTCAATTATCAGGTGAGAACGCTTGACGCCTTTGAGCCCGCGAAGGAGCAGCAAATGCCAACATCCAATCAAGAGGAACAGCATGAGGTGGAGGCTGAGGTGGATGTGGAGGAGGAGGAAGAAGATGATGATGATGATGAAACCAATACCAATGATAATGTGCCCTCGCTGAAATTGGACAGCCTGAGCTTGTACTCCAGCGAGAGCATCTCACCCACCTGCACACTGTCGCCCGTGGCCGATGAGCAGGCAGCAAGCAAAGCGCACGCTGCCATCGTCCACCAGGTGACGCTGGAGGATGTGACCGATGACAGCGATGAGGAGTGTTCGCCAAAGAAACCCAAAGAACTATTCATACCTGAGGGCGCAGCTGATTTTTTTGCCATAGAGATTCTACATACGCCCACGCCGCAGGCGACGACGCCAGCGCTGAGCAATCCCATTCCTGATGCCAAGCAGGAGTTTGCCTTGCCCACGCTGCAGACGCCCATACCTGACCCCAAGCAGGATTTTACTGCGTTTCCAGACTCAACGCCACCACCTCAGCAGGAACTCAACGGAAATCTTGTCAAAGACAACGATGCTGAGAAGGAGGAGGAGGAGGACGATGACTTTTGGTGACTTTGCCGACTTTTCGGCAGCGCCAGCGTCGCTTGAGTCGTTACAGTCAATACCAGTAGCGGCCGGCAGTGATGATGGCTTCGATGATTTCCAGGATTTTGCCACACCCTCAGCGACAACGGCGACTGTTGAGAACGATGATGATGGTGATGATGATGATTTTGGTGACTTTGCGGAGCCCGCATTTGTGCCCGCTCCTGCTGCCACAGTAGCATCAGTGCTGCTGCCACAACCACCGCCACCAGCTGCAACGCATCTCAGCATCGATGAACGTGTCAAGCCTGTGTTGGAGCTAATGTTTCCCAGTCAGGAGGCGGCCAGTTGTACACACCTGCCGCCCAAGCAGACACCGCTGGCCCAGACGCAATCCTTGCACTTTGGCGCCATTGAACAGGCGCATGCTCTCGACTATCAGTGGGCAAACTCCGAGATGCGACACTCCCTGGTGCGATCCCTGGCCATCGATTCGCGCAATATTGTGAGTTCTACTTTTTTATATAGGATATAAAATAATGTTACCGCAATGAAGGAGGCCCCGCTGACCTCCAAAAGAATGTTGATATCTAGTCAATTTAGTTAGAGATTAGTACAACTTTTTCTGTACAGACTAATCTGTGTTTGATTAGATTAAGCACGAGTGCTATTGCTAAATGACCGACTAGGAGATATCCTGCACTCAGCCGTCAGGTACATGCATACATTTGTGACAGATAAGAATAGTAGAAGAAAATCAAAAAAAGAATAAGTTGTGCCATAACGTAAGCAGCAGCCTCTCTTTAGATTTGATTTCCTTGCATCTTTTTGCTATTGAAGCAGCAGCAGCATCTTAATTTTCTTTCACTATACACAAACCTTTTAGATTGGTTTCATTTTCTGTGCGACCAGGATAAGCAAGAACAATTGGACGACAACTTTGCAAACACGATTTGCGCTGCGCGTAAATTCGATGCAATAAATTATCATTATTATTATAGCTATCATTTCGAAAGCCGAGTAAAAAGGAAAACGAAATTAGAAAAAATTTGTTTAATAAGATAGAATGAAGTTAAAGTTTTTAAATTAGCGACGCGTTGCGAGCAAACATCATAACTTCAGAGTGATCGAGGCATTCGCAAATTGATCTTGATCGAGTCAAGGAAAACTTCAGAGTTTTTTTTTTGCCTCAATTTAAGTAAACTAGACGGTTGCTACCACAAGAATAATAGGTTAAGGGATGTGTATTTTTAACTATTAACTGTTTTTCGTTAATTTTATTTGTGTTTGATGACTAAACTGATTTTATTCTTAATCCCTCAGCTGTTTGGCGACAAGTGGAATGCGTCGATGCCACGCTTTGCGGCTAACCTGAGCTTTGATCCACTAAAGCCACTCAAGCCGTCAACTGTCACATCTGTGCTGGAGCCACAAACGGCATCCGTATCCAGCTGGCGGCCCGCAAACAGCAGCTCCATGCAGCAGCCCAGCCAGGGTAAGTTAGTAGACGGCGTCACAAGTAAACACTTAGTTGCTGCCAGTTAACCGCTACACACGATTCTCGTAACCAAAATTGCCACAGCCTCTCGCTCGCTCGCTCTTTCCCGAAATACTTTTTCGTTGATCCTCACGCTTTAGCTTTCCAACTGAATAACCAATTGGCCTGCCGTTTATTGGCTGCTCTCGTTCTTACTCTCTCTTTGGTTATATTAAACATGCGTTTCTTTTCCCGTTTTTCGTTTGGTTCAAACCTTCTGAAGAATTGTAATCTCTTCGGAGGCCCGAAGCTGCTGTAATGCCCTTGCAGAAATGAAATAGATTAATAAAGATTGAATGTAGTGCGATAAGTATGCAATATTTATAAAAATTACGAGCGTATTTTCTGCAAGTGTATTGTAGAGCAAAATACCATTTTCACTTGTTTTACTTGTTTCTTGTGCCCATCATCTTTGTACTGAAATTTATCCTTATGATAAATTGTATTTAGAATCACATGTACAGACTTTACAATTGGAACAACAACAACAACAACTAGACCAAGTAACGATGGTGGCTAATGCTGATAAAATAAATCTTGTTACCTCTAACTACTCCCACAACAACAACAACAACAACAATCACGATGCCTTGGCTGCGATGGAACTATTTGATAATAATGACAATATGACAATCAACCACAACAACAACAACAATCAATGCAATGCAACCAATGCCAATGAAACGCATACTTTTGTCACACATTTTGCCACCATCTGCAACAATAACAATAATCATGCAATAACAACCACTACAACAACAACAACAACAACTAACACTAATTTAATCGCTCACGTCGCCTTGCTGGATCTTAGTAAGTTTCGTTCGTTGGCTCCGTGCGTGTTGTAGTTGTGTATTTTTTTTATTCTCTCTCTATATATCTCTCTCCTTAGTCTCTATGCAACTCTCAATCTCTCTCTCCCTCTCTCTCCTCAGTTCTTGTTACTTGTCGCTGCCAACACAACATACACACATATTTATATATATATATAAACCCCAACAAACCCTCCACCCACTGCAGTAGTTTATCCAGCATCTTAGTTCTCATGTTGTCCATTAATATATATATTTAACTGTATACTATCTGTAGTAGCCTTAGATTAATGCTCATATTTTGTGTGGTTCACAGGACTTGAAACAGCTGCCGCCGCCGCCGCAGCAGCAACACCGGCGAGCCAAGCTAAAGCGCAGCCTGGCACTACTCATGGGCAAAGCTCGACCAACGGTAACGACGAGGCAGCAGCCGATGGCGCCATCGCCGGCATTGATGACGCCACAGCAGCAACATCAGTTTTTGCTGCTGCAACAACAACAGCGCCGCTATCGCCTGCTTTATCAGCAGACGGCAATGGACACGGCTTCGTCGACGACAGCGAGCAGCTCGCTCAGCAACAGCAGCAGCAGCAGCTTGATCTGAGAAAGTCACCATCGCCATCACCATCGCTGCCAACACCGTCGCCGTCGCCGTCGCCGCCGCCACAGCCAGCAATCATTAGCAGCAGCCAGCAACTGCATGAGATCAGCAGCGGCAGCAGCAGCAGCAATAGCTTTGCCATGCCGCTCAAGGAGACACATATTTACACACCCTCGAAATCAGACACGGCGGTGGCCAAGACCACAACGCTGGCGCCCATCGATTTCGACTATGAGATCGCCTCGGCCGGCATCATTATTGACGAGACGGTCGTAAAGAAAGAATATCGCGATGTGGAGTACAAGCCACCGCCGGCCACAATAACCCCCTATGCCCTCGACTCGTCCAGCAAGCTGAACGCATCCGGGAAGCCATCAACTGAGGATGATGATTTCAGTGATTTTCAGAGTGTGCCCGCCATGAAGAACTGCGCCCAACTACAGCCGCCTCGCAATGGCACGCCCACATTTGGCGAGCAGATGATACTCAGTCCGGCCATACTGCTGCCGCAATCAATTCCATTGGCGAAGCCAAGCATTGAGTGGGGCGACAATGCAATGGCCAGCATCAATGCCGAGGAATTGGCACGCATCGAGGAGCTCTTCTCGCATCAGTTCAAGCCGCCGACGATAAGCGCCACGGTGGCGCAACAGTCACCCAAACAGCCGAGACAGCAGCAACAACAACATCAGCTGCAGCTGCAGCAGCAACCGCAACAAAAAAAGCAACAGCAGCAGGAGGATGATGAGTGGTCCGATTTTGTGTCTGTGCCCGTGCAACAGCAGCAAAAGCAGCAACAGCAGCTGCAACAGCAGAACAACCATCACAATAACAACAATGTGCTGAAATCGCGAGCGGCAACTGCAGTTGCAAAGCAAGAGGATGACTGGTCAGATTTTGTTAGCAGCAATCCATTGCCGGCGCGTGCTGCGACAATGCCACAATTCAATTCCGGCGCCTGGCAGAGTGCCAACTTTTACAACAATCCGCTCAGTCTTTATCAGCAGCAGCAGCAGCCGCACGCACACAGCAATCTGGTACCCCAATATCATAGCAAAAGCAGCAGCAGCAACAACACCAACAATGGCAGCAGCAACAACAACAGCAATCATAATAATAATAATAACAACAATATACCACAACAGATCCATATGATGCATGATTTCTCCACGGCGCCGACGGCGACGGCGAACGCATTGCCAGCAACTTATCAGCAACAGCATCATCAGCACCATCAGAAACAGTTGCAGCAACAGCAGCGCCAGCAGTTTCATCTGGGCAATGCAAAGGTGGCGCCACGCATCTCCCTAATACCCGATCTGAGCTTTGTGGCACCGGCACTGCCAACCAATGCTGGCGCCTTCATGAGCTCTTTGCCCAAGCCCAGTTTCAGTGCAAAGAAATGACAAAAGCTGCGCACCGTGAAACAGTTAAGGTCACAGCAACAGCAGCATCATCATCATCAGCAGCAGCAGTCGAAGATGTTGTTGGTGCCGCCGCCTTGCCTTCCGGCAGCCGAGGCGACCATCTTGACGTAGGCGACGCGTCAATCAGTATTATGAATCCGTCTAGATATTTTGTTATATAAGTGAGCAAAGCTGCAAGCAATTTTGCAACGTTTGCGCTGGTTGTTATCATTGTTAATGTGCGTGTTGCTGTGTTGTCGTTGTTGATGTTGTCGTTGTCATTATTGTCGTTGTCATTATTGTCGTTGTTGTTGTTGATGTTGTCATTGTTGTTACTCGTAGCCTGTAATTGTAGTCAACAAAAAAAAAAGCAATGCTAAACTGTTTGCGTCGAAATTATAGTATTTAGTGCAATATTTTTGTGTAAAATTTTGTTTTTAGACAGAGAACTCGAGAATTGGCCGAAAACTTAAATAACTCAGTAATTAGGAGTAGTATTAGTTATAGAGCCTATTATTTTATTATTATTATTTACTATATTATGTGGATAGACTGTATTGAGTGGTACATAAAACGTAGTAATCGATATTACCTCTCCATTTAGCTATAGCTTGGACTTTGCGACTTCTGAAGGTCAAAGCCCCCACAAATTTACCCAACAACTAAACTAGATTTGGTTTTTAGTGAATGCTTGGAAATTAGAACTTGTACAATATTTAAAGCAATAGAAACCTCTAAGCTATATTTTGGGGAAGCACTTTTATTTTTGGTGTTTCTTGTTTTTTAAAACTCGTTTGAGTAATTCATTTTGAATAAGCGTTTGTAGTTTAACAATGTTGAACATTAAACCATAAATAAAGCGACACGATTTAGTTTCCGAGCGAGTTGAGAAACGTTTGCAAAGGCCAGCTTAGAAATGTTTGTATTGCCCAGATTTGACCCACTAAGTTGGTGGGATCTCAGTCAAGACGTGCGTAGAAGCGATCAGACTGGTTGCATCACTCCAAATAAAAAAAAATATAAATTAATTTAAAAAACAAACAAGAGACGCCCCAGCCATTCCAAAGTGAGATATTTCAAGGCGTTAAAAAAAAAGAAGAAAAAAACATCCAAAAACGTAACCCGCCCAAGCGAAATTTTTCTATATATACATTTAAACATATATAAAGTTGGGTATGTCTATAATGTATTAAACTATATTTAATGCAAATTTGTTACAATTATTACAACAAAAAAAAAAAACCAAGAAAAGAAAACTGCGAGCATTCCATGTTTAGTCATAGTTTGCCATGATCTCCATAATGAAAACCTAAAGCAGAAAACTAAAAAAGTGAAAACCCATTGGCTTTAGATTTTTGTGTTAAATGTTTTATTTATTTATTTCGCTTAATGTTTGCGTGTGTGTGTATGTCCGTGTGATAGTGTGTGAGTGTGAAGTAAAACAATTAATATATATATATAAATTACAACTAAATTTGAATCGATGCTGTAGACTTAACTGTAAATTATGCATTTGTGTATGTGTTTTGTTGTATTTTATTTTTTGCTAACAATGATTAAAAACATGATATAAAATGGTTTGCGGCTTGAATTAAAATCAATGTATTACAATGTGCTACAAAATTATATTCTAATATTCTATATTAATAGATAATGTACTGTATAAATATGCGCAGAGCAAAACAATAAAAAAAAGTAATATAATATATATATATAGTAATTGAAGAAACGTTTTATGTTTATTTGATAATTTGAACCAAGTTTTTGTTGCAATACATTTCTTGCGTTGATGATCTTACTTATCAATAGGGGTTTTTTTTTTGTGGGGACGGGGTAAGGACCGGCATTTAATTAGATTCATCATTCTACTGGAGTGGAGTATGGAGGCGTTGTGTATTGTGTAATTGAAACCTGCTTATAGAGTGGCTCACTTGTGCCAGCGGAAGCTCAATAGATGATATGATTAGTCCGAAACTAATCTTCAATGTCTCACATTCTCTCGGGAAGTAGGACTTTGCCAGTGGACGCTATAGAAAGCCTCGTCAAATGTATGTTTAATGTGCTTAAATGGATGCTGATCGATGCACTAATTATTATTATATTCATTATATTTAATCTAGTCAGGAGTTAGGATTTATGTTTGTTTTTTTGTTTTCTTTTTGGATTGGGATTGGCCAGCGAGGTGCACGGGGTGTATACATATATAGATAGCACTATGGCAGTAAATAGTACATAATAATAAGCAATATTTCACATACACATGTGGTGTATATGCATATATAACTAGGTCTATATAAATAGAGTGTGTATGGATGTGTATATGTGTGTGTGTGTGTGTGTGAGTCTGTTTGAGTTTCATTATAAATGTGGTGAATGCAATGCTAATGTCATAATTATAAGCATACCGCTTCAACTTCGTCTAAATGTTTAACAGTTTCATAATCGATGCCTTAACACAAAGGAAAAAACGCTAACAGATCCAAAAATATGAAATGATGCTCTCTATATCCTTTACGGTTATTTTGCACTAACAGTTTTGTTTTTGTTTTTGTTTTTATATTGTTTTTTGTTGTTTCGTTCATCTTTTTCTCATTTTGTTCATTAAAGAATAACTAAGCTAATATTATGCATTTATTATGTATATTTAGGTAATGATAGTTGCCGGGCGTAGGCTCAAAATGCCAGCCACGGATGATGCAGCAGCGACTCCTTGGAACGATCGCCATAGTCATAGGTCAGCTCCTCGCCAGCCTCAATGTCATCCTTGGCCAGCAGCACCAAATGCGGCCGCTGCTTGATCACGACCACTTTGGTCATCAGATTGCCGTTGCGCGAGTGATTTATGAGGCGTCCCAGCTTCCCCGTATCAATGGTCGCATCGATGCAGTACTGCTGGTTCTTATGCTTAAAATAGTACATATAACAGCCGGCATTCTCGTCCAGCGCATAGCAACGCTCCCGTTGGGTGGCCTCGCTAATGGCGATCAGGTCACCCACATATTCGACGACGAACTCGTTACGCTTGAATCGCCGCATGGCGACAACGCCACGCCCTTTGCCCATAAAGTGGCGCACCTGGAGTCCGTCGCAGCGCTCCTCGAGCACAGCCTGCTCCAGATTGCGCATCATTTCCTCTTTGACGGCCGTCTTGGTCTTGCGCACACTGCGCCGCACCGGAAAGAATTCGGTTAGCTCACGATTGCCATTGGTTGCAGCCAGCGGCTGTGACTTGGCTGCCAACGACTTGGCTTTGCCCGGCCTGCTGGAAGTCGCCTTTGGTTTGACGGCAGCTGCTGATGCTTTTGCTGCTGCTGCCGATGCGGCTGCTGTCGGCTTGAGCATTGTTGCCTTTGATTTAGTCAGATTCTCACGCTCCTCGGCGGCCTTGATCAGCGCATGCACATCATCCTCATCATCGTCCCCATCCACGTCCCCGTCATCGTCTAAAACGACAACAACAACATCATCATTGGGCATTGGGCTGGGCTGCTGGTAAGGCGCTTGTGGCTTTGGCTGATTCAGTCTTCGTCGCGATTTGCACACACTGCTTGCGGCTGCCAATTGCAATTGCAGTTTGCGCGGCGACTTTCTCGGCGACTGCACCTCACCCTTCATCAGCAGCGCTGCATCGCGCGGCATTGTCTTGATGGGCGAGGGGCATAAGATGCGATGCGGTGTTGCCGGCTTGCGTCGACGCGTTCCAATCACCGCTGGCGACACGCCTGCCGTCAGGCTGCAGGCAACGCCACTGTCGCAGGAACTGCTGTCATGTTGATCCAATTCGCAACCGCTCAACGGTTGCTGCTGCTGCTGCTCATGTTGCAGTTGCTGTTGCTGTTGCTGATGCTGTTGCTCGTGCCCCGTCCCGTGACCATTGAGCGTAACAATCTGATTGAAGCGACCGTTGAGCATACAGGCACTCAGCACTGAGGGCGGCGAGGAGAATACGGCATTGGCCAGCTCGAAGCTTTTATTGATGCGTATGCTGGAGGCCTTGGTGGGCGTTCGATCGATGTCCAGCGTCAGCACCGGCTCCTGCAGAAATATATTGTCCGAGGTCGCTGCACTGCTACTGCTGCTGCTATGCGACGAGCTGTGACTGTCGCGCAGTGCCGACCGATGCGTCTGGAAGGCAGTTGTGCTTTGTATGCCTGCTGCATCTGTGTGTTCTGTGTCTTGGTCTTGGACTTGTGTCTGTGAGTGTGTATGGATGTGTGTATCTGTGTAGTTAGAGCCCCCCGTCTCGGAGCTGTTGTCGTTAGTGTGCTCAGCGTCCAGATCATCGTCGATTTGATATGCTGGCGAACTGGCGCTGGCGCTGTTGCTGTTACTGGTCGATGGTGAAGCTATCGAGTGTGCATCATATAGTAGCGACTCCTCCTCCAGTTCATCCACTAAGGCTTCATTTATGCTTATTGTCTTTTGCTCATCTGATGCAGTTGTTGTTGTAAATTCTGTTGATAAAATTGTTGTTTTTTTCTTAGCTGCATTCGCTCTAAAGAAGTTTTCAATGGTGCGTGTTTGCGAGCGCGTTGCCAATTGTACACCTGTGCAGGAGGAGGTGCAGGGGAGAGGAAAGGAAAGGAGTCCTATAGTGAGTGTGCTTCAGTTAAACTTAAAATAAAAAAAAACTACTTACCAATTGTGCGACCAGCCTCAGACTTGATTGAGTTGCTGGATTTGTCAATGGATTGTGGATGATTTGCTGCACTGAGATTGCCTTCGTTTGGTTTCATGAGGCGACAGTCTTTTCGCTTAGGGCTGGCAAAGTATTGATCATCCAGCAAATTATTGCTATTGGCGGCCACAGCGCTCATTGGTACGCCATTGAACGGCAGGGTCAGCGTTGTGTTGTCGCTGTTGCTACTGCTGCTGATGTTGTTGGCAGCAACGACCCCGTTTAGGGCGGGCTCTTTGGCGGGCCGTGCGCGTCTGCGAACCATTATCATTTAGCTTTGAGCTAACACAAAATTGGAGTTGTGGAAATCCGTGTCGGGTGGAAATCCGTCGATAATTAATAAATTACACTAAGGCAGCAAGTTTGTAGCACACACACTGTGAAACCAGAAACGAGAAAACGGAAAAACAGACTGCAATTTGCATAAGTCGAAACAAAACGACATTAAAACTTTTTGTACATTATTTGTTCGCCGCCCTCCTCCCTCTTCAGCTCCCACACACACATACACACATGCAGTAATACACACACACACACACACACATAGCAACACAACACAACACAGCGCGTACAGTTTTTTCCCCTCGACAAAAATATCGTGTTCTGCTTGCTGCTGCTGCTGCTTGTGTCGCACGAAGCGAAGAGGAAGACAAACGGCGAAAGAATGATATGAAGCAGCCAGTCAGCCAAACAGCCAGCCAGCCTGCTCGTTGCGCCAGTGAGGCTGAGGCTGGGACTGAAGCAGAGACGGAGGCAGATGCCTACCTATTTATTTAGCTGATACGAATTTTGTCGTCATACGCAGAAGCGCATGTTTTTCGTTTTACACTGTTTTATGCACATTGCAATTAATTATGCCGCCTTGTTATACTATTTTTACAGTCAGTCAAATGCACTTTTCCTTTTCCGCAAAACTTTTTTTTTGTGTGTGGTTCTTTTTATTCCATTTTGCAGTAGAGTTGTTGATGTCTTATCGATACATGTCATAACATCGATATCAGTGCAGATCGAGCGAGCATTGTTGGGCAACATTTTCATTTTAATGACTGATCGAAACTTAAAGAGTCAAATCACAAATAAATTTGCTTTAACTGTTTTCCTTTCAGCCACTAAAAGAATAAAATATTAACTTAAATAACTGAAAATAAAATAAGTCTATTAAATCGCGTTTCCCAATACTGGCTAGAAGTTGCGCGCAAACTATCGTTGGCCAATAACAGTGACGCTTGTGCTTGTTTACATGTTAAATATCGATAGTTACACATTAGCATCTCAAAGGCTAAGCGAAATTCGCGAGGCGCGCGTGAAAATTATTTCGTTAAGGAAATTAAAGTTAATTCGTCGCGTATAAGTTGATGAAAGGTAGTGCAAAAAGCATAATAAGTTGACAATTGCAATTGTTCATTGAGTGCATATTGCAAGGAGCTGCTTAACAACGTTTACATCCTGCTGCTTGCAAAAAAAATTGGGCGCCTTTTATTGCTCCCTCTCTCGGTCTCGCTCTCTGTCGCTGGCTGACCCTGTGCTGCTCCTTGGCGATACGAAATAAAATAATAAACTAAACGAGGGCAAGCAACAAATCATTATCAAAAATGCCGATCTGCAAGCGCGACGGATTTGATCTCAATCAATCACAGGAAACATTCCACGACAACGATTTGGTCTTCTGCTGTTATATTACCAAGCGGATATTTCGCGATTACGAGTAAGTCAAATTAGATTCACCATGCGTGAAACATTATTTTCTTGTCAGTAATAAACTAACAGTTGTAATGCAGACGCCAATTAAAGCTAGCATTTAAAGTTGCCAACTTAAAGGGCGTTACATTTTTCGGGCTTGAAAAATGTCGCATTTTATATGTGTGTCTGGCGCCTTTTTTTTTTTTTGGATTGACCTGACCCAAAAATTACGACTTGCAAAAATATCTTTGATCTTTGTTAAATGCAGGACAGCAATGAAAAGACAATTTTCTGATCGTCTAATTCTTCTTCTTCGCCTAATACTGTTACCAAGTTTAAATTTGTTTTGCAATTCGTTAAATGGTTTTAGTTGCAGTTAGCAGCAGTATGACAATAACAAAGCATACAATGCGCTAAAGTATACAACAAAGCAACGCTGATGAACGCATGCTTCGACGCGAGCAATACATGCAAGCAAAACCACAAAAACATTTCGTATGGGAGTAGTTGTGTTGGCGACGGCGGCCGTGTAAAGCGCGCGAAATTGTGTCACAGCTGCTATGCGCGGCGTTGCCACCTTGTTGCCAGTTCAAAAAAACTATTTTATATGTTGTTACAGTGTTGAATATTTAAAAAATTAACTTTTTTCATTATAATTGAGGGGGACAAATTAAATAAAATAATTCTTAGTAGGCAGTTTGATAATTTATAGTTTTCATCAGGAAGATTGAACTTAATTGAGTAAGCTTTTCTATATTACATGGAGTATTTGCGACATGTTCCTTAAATAAAATATAATAATTCTTAGTAGGCAATTTTGTAGATTGTCATCTTTATTAATTTTTGCCGATTTTCAATTTTACAAAGAGAATTTAAGGCAAGTTAATGCCATCAAGTTAAAGAAAATAATTCTTATTTGGCAGTTTAGAGTTTTAATTTTGAAGATTTAACTCAATTGCAGTAATTTTTATATGTTATAGGGAGTATTTTCGACATGTTATGGCCATTAACTCGACTGTGTGGCAGTGCGAGGCGACTGGCAAGGATGGCCTCACCTACGAGGAGGCTGTGAAGAGCGAACGGCTCGCCCGCAAAAAGATGGAACAGTTCAAACAGAGTTTACGTGCGCCAGTTCTCCTGGTCATCGAACATGCCTGTCAGTCGGCCGTGAAGACGCTCACTCTGCTCGCGTCCAAGTTTCTGCGCAAACGCTTCTTCCTCAACGAGGAGGTGAATATCACAACCAAGCGAAACCAGGTCTTCAAAGTGATTGGCATTAAGCCGGCCGAGAATGCTCCAAAGCCGGTCAACGGCGTTTACGAGGAAACCGAACAGCTCGAATATCGTTTGTGCGCGCCGAACGGCGAGGAGGTTGTCGCCACCTTTGAGCAAATGCGTCGCAAACGAGACGAGTTCAACCACGAGAACCTCAGCATGTTCATCAAGAACAATGTAATTCGTGTGGAGGGATTACTGCGGCCCAAGCCCGAAATCTACAAACAGTATGTGACAGAACCAAATGTCAGCTTCTCTAGCATCTTTATTGGGAAAATGCCACGATATTCACCATCAAAAATCAAACGACCCGACGCTAAGGATACCAAAAAACAATCAACACTTAACAAGTTCTTTGTCAATAGCGAGGAGGTGAAGGCAAAAAGCAAGGTGGACGACAAAGTCAAAGACAAATCGTTGGGCGAGGAAATGGAGCGCAGACGCCTCGAGAAGCAGGCCAAAGTGTTGGAGGAGATACGTCAAAAGGCGGAGAAGAAGGCACAAAAGAAGGCGGCTCTAATGTTGCGCGTCGAGGAGGAATGCAATTATCTGACAATCAAAACGGATGATCTGGAACGTGTCGATCAGTCCGTGATGCCCACCTATCATCCAATTGTTACACTTCTGCCGGACCATTTGCTGGGCGACGCCTTCATGCTGCGTGAATTTATTCACACGTATCGTGGTGTACTCTCTGGGGCCGGAGTGCTCACCCAGAACCTGACCTTCTATGAGATGTCGCGAGCATTTAGCGCACGCGAAGTGGCCGGTCCACTCTCAGACATATTGATCGTGCTGCTGGGCACGATCTTTGATATGCAACGCGAGGAGGAGGACGAGTGCCCCGTCAGATATTCGCTGAGACGCGTCCAGTCAACCGAGGAGCCCTACCTGAGCATGTACAATGCCTCGCATACGGCTCGCTATGCCAAGCGACACTATTCCTTCAATCTGAACGTGTTGCCGCTGGATGCGCTCACCCTCAGCGAAGTGTTGCGCCTGCATTTGTTGTCCTCCGGTGCGGCTCTGGCTGAGAAGAGTGAAAGATGGCGTTACTTGTATCGCAATGGTTACGCCTCGCGTGAGGATCCCGGTCTGGAGCTGCTGCTCCAGCACCCACACATTCTACATCTACTCCGAACGCATACCATTGGTCATCTGGACTTTGTGGACATTATGCGTGTGATTAATTGTTTGATGGCACAGATTTTAACCTATTCCGCCAGCATTACGGTGATCGACAAGCGCATGGAGCGCATAACCAAGGTGAAGGGCGAACTACGTGCGTTGGCCATCAGCGAGAATCGGAGACTAGCCGCCGTCGAGATGACCCGACGCAAGCTGACCAACGAACACAATCAGGAGTGCATGTCAGACGAAGTGAAGCTGGATATGGACAAGAGGCAGGCACTCGATGAGAAATTGAATCGACGCGTTGCCAATCTGCTGGTACAATCGGATCGGGAGCAGCGCAAATACGATTTTCAGATTGTCAAGCTGCACACGAAGCTGTTCAATTTTCTGGTCTACTTGGGCATGGATCGTTGCTATCGCAAGTATTATGTGCTCGAGTCGATGCCGGGCATCTTCATAGAGCACTCGCCGGATAGCGTGGACACGTGTCTATCGCAGCCGCCGCTCAATAAATCGCCGGACGAGTTACGCAAACAGGCGCAGTTGCCCAAGATGCGCAAAGATCTGCGAATCTATTTGCTGAAGTTGTATGGCGACGATTCGGATAAGCGGCCTAAAAACACCGGCAAACAATCGTTGGAGAACAAGGAGAACCAGGAGAATCTGCTCATCAACGATCACGGTCAATCGGCCGAACCAATGGATTTAACCGGCGACGACGATGAGCACTCGACACCCACACAAACTGAGCTGCTCATGTGCAGCGGAGATGCCACTAATTGCATAGTTCACAACGAGCAGCACGATAAGCGACAAATATGGACGTACATCCATCAGAAGGATGAGATCGATGCCCTGATCAGATCCCTGAATCCACTAGGTCTGCGTGAAGCAGAGCTGCTCGAGGAGCTCACCCAGATGCGCGCCCTGATCGAACATCATGTGAAGTATTGTCCGCACGACATGCTCAGTCTGGATAGCAATCAGAAGCGCAACAAGTTCGTCAATGCAATGAAGACGGAGACGAATCGCAAATATGGCCAGGCTAATTTTGGTCTGCCCGAGAATACGGATCTGAACGAGGTGATGCGTCTGCATCTAATCGATTGCATTCTGCAGCTGGAAACGGACATTTTCACAGGCGATCTTGGCAAGCTGAAGGTCAAGGATATGGATAAGTGGCGCGAACAGCTATTGGCCGACGAATTTGATGCCCAGTGCACGCTACGGTGGGGACCAGGATTCATGCACAGCAATGAGACGGATGCCGATACGACGGACAATATCAATAATGAGCTCTACGACGAAGAGGCCTGCCAGTTTGGCAGGACTAAGTACGGCGCCTATCGGGATCCGGGACAACATTTGAGGCAGACTGATGTCGCTGCCTCAACGAAGGTAACCGAGGCGCATGAGACTCAGGTGCGGAATCTGGCGTCGGCATTGCTCCAGGTGGAGCAGGCGGTGGGTCGTCGCTTCCTAAAGGAGCCATTCAGCATGACTACAGTAAAGAAACCAGAGTCAAAGCCGGAAAATCATAAGCTCATCTGTGCGGCCAAGTTGCAACAATGGGAACTGTCGCTGATGCAGAGCACCAACTATGCCCAGATCTTTCTGCATATGAACGTATTGCACGACTCCATATTATGGAAGCGTTCCACAATGAAGTCGCTGTGTAAGGTTTGCAGACGTGGCACCGATCCGGAGAAGATGCTGCTCTGCGACGAGTGCAATGACGGCACTCACATGTTTTGCATGAAGCCAAAAATGCTCTCGGTGCCCGAGGGTAATTGGTATTGTCAGACCTGTGTGCGAACTGGAGGCTTCACCAATGCCACCGCAGACGATGAGCAGCAAGAGCAAAAGAAACGCACCGCCCAAAAGAAATGCAAATTTGAGGTGGAGGACGCAGATGCCGACGACGACGAGAAGGAGGATGGCGAGGGCGAGGAGGAGGATGGCGACGGCGAGGAGGAGGATGGCGAGGGCGACGAGGAGGATGGCGAGGGCGACGAGGAAGATGGCGAGGGCGACGAGGAGGATGGCGAGGGCGAGGAGGAGGGAGATGTTGACTATGAAGAGGCGGAGCAAAGCGATACACAAGATGATGATATCAGCGAAGCCTCCTCCTCTCACATCTTATCATCCGCCAAGTCAAATGGCCGAGCGACAGCGACGCGACTCCGCAGCAGCAGGCGACTGAAATCGAAAGAAATTGAGGAGGCACTCGACGACGATGATGATAACGAGTCCGTCGACGAATCGTCCATTGCAGCCGAAGAGAATGATGGCAACAGCGAAGAGGAAGAAAGTTACCAAGAGGAGGAGGGGGAGGCGGCAACTGACCAAAGTCAATCCTCGTCCGCTCATATCATATCCGTCAAGACAAATGGCAGACCGGCAGCGAAGCGACTCCGCAGCAGTAGACGAAAGAAATCCAAGGAAATTGAAGACGAGGACGAAAACGAGCTCTCCTCCATTGAAGCTGAACACAATGAAGAAGATGAAGAAACGTAAGTGAAAGGAACGAGAATTATGCTGATGATTAAAACCAATTAATCCAAATTTTCCATTCTTAGTGAGGTGGAAAAGGTTTGTCAGACGTGTTTCTATGATGGCTGCGAAATTTGCTGTGCCCGTTGCTCCGAGTGGTATCATCTGGAGTGCGTTAAATTGAAGCGACAACCTCGCACGGATTTCGTGTGCAAGAAGTGTAAATCAAATGAAAAGCCACGCACGCGACGCCGGCTCAGTCATGGTATATAGTTTGACTAGTTGTATCCAAATGTAATTACATAAAATAATCTCATAACCCTCAATTCAATTAGATGGCGATGCCGATGATGATGAGGATCGGGAGGAACCGCAGGCCAAGCGTTCGCGCAATTCTTTACGCAACTCAGTAGTCAAGGCAGCGGCCAACAGCAGCACCAATAATAATAATAATAATAATAACAATAATACCAGTAACCACAACAACAATCGTCGTTCGGGACGCCGAACCAATGATGATCTGCCATTAAATGGCGCCGTCTTATACGATCTATTGGAGCAGACGATGAAGCATAAGGCGTCGTGGCCTTTTCTGCGACCAGTGCTAAACTCTGAGGTGCCCGACTACCATAAGATAATTAAGACGCCAATGGATCTGGCCAAAATCAAATCAAAATTAAATATGGGCCAATATCAAATAAACGAGGAGGTGCTCAGCGATATCCAGTTGGTGTTCAAGAACTGCGATCTGTACAATGTCGAAGGCAATGAAATTTACGAGTGAGTAGTCAAACATCATCTATCGTTTGCAAACCATTCTAATGATGTACTTGTTTTCGTAGTGCTGGCAGCGAATTGGAGCGATTTGTAATGTCACGCTGCAAGGATCTGATGCTGCCGTTCCGGCCCAGTGACATGAATGCCACCGAAGGGATTTGCTAAGTGTTTCGCTTGCATTTAATTCGCAAACCATGTAAATTAATTCACTTAGCTTTAGGCAACATGCAAAGTGCAACATACAAAGAACAAGCCAACGTACATAATTAGCCAGTATTGTTTAGTTACCAGTTATCAGCCGCATTCACACACACACACACACACATACACACACTTTATATAGTCTGTTTAGTGTATGCAATGTGTATACTTACTTGTATCGCTATGATCCACCATTTAGCTTAATCGTTCCATATTTCAGCTATATAGCTATTAGTTTCTGTATCAATTTTATTATTAATTTTACGCATAAATTATTGTAGACATATACGCAGAGTTCACAGATTTTAGCATTCAATAAATAAATAAAATACCGAATACTTGCAACCTTTAAAACTACTGTAGCCATATTCTCTGTCGCAGTTGGAACGCCAACTGGTGAAATACATGTCCAAAGTGAATCAGCTCTTGGGCAATACATGCATATTTGTATCTGAAAGTACGTTTGAAGTATTATAGTTGCAACCACTTGCAAAACATCATGCAACAACTTGAATACAAACATTTGCTAATTGCATGTTCCACACCAAACTGTGTTTTATTTATTTTCATTGTTTTTTCTGATTGGTTTTCATAATATATTTTCAATCACAATTAACATCCAAATTAAAAAAATAAAATTAATTTACGTTTTTAATCTAATCTAATGAATACACGCAAAAGTTATACTCATAATGTTGTCATGGTATTACTTTTAGGTTACTGCAATTTTTCAGAGATCATTAATTTAAAAGAAAAGTATTCCAATGTGGAGGCTATTAATAAATTGCAAAATTAGCTCGAAAAATGAGTTGCTGCGAACATAAATACAACTCCCTATTTTTGGATGCGGATAAAGTCTACTTAAACAATATCGAATACTCTCTATGCTTGTATTATACCATGATTGAATTCGGACAAATGGACACAGTGCTGCAGAGAATTTTGCGCTTAAGTCTACATTTTCTTCTTAATCCGTAATGCACACACATATCGAGGAATTATAATAATGCCAGGATTGCTCTGTATAAAAAAAGTCAACAGAAACTACTCGAAAGTTTCCCGAATGTGATCCATTTTTACAAATGTGTCTGTGTGGAGGAGGACGTGGATGTGGTTGTCTCTGAGTGGCATGTGGCAGCCGGTATGCCATTGACGACTTTATTATTGTTGTTCTCGGCCAATTGGCTGTTGTTGTTGGCCTCGGTGGCATCCAGCGCAAAGTGCACCGAATTGGAGGTGCTTGGCGCCTGCGACAATTGTGCCTCCATCGATGTGTTGGACGTGTCGTCATCGTGATTGCTGTTGCTATTGTTGTTGTTATTGTTGATGTTGCTGTTGTTGTTATTGTTGTTGCTATTGCTGGTGTTGCTGTTGTCACCGGCATTGCTCTCTTGATTTGCCTCTGGATCATTATCATCATCATCATCTAACCATTCGGTATCATAGGACATGGCGCTCTCGTTCTCCAGCATTCCTCGGCGTGGACGTCGAACGGTCCGTCGCCGTTTAATGGCCGCAAAACGGAGTCGCATCAATTTCCGCTTCCGCTCCAGCTGCTCGAAACTGGCCTGCAACGAGCCAACTGTAGAGAAAGGAAACTCATTAATGGTTACAACAAAACAAGGAAATACAATATGAAGTGGGAATAGAGTTTGCAAGGATTTCATTCCCTTGCAGACAAATTGCCGACTAGTAAATTTTTCTATAAATTAAAGCGAAATCTATTTGATTTAGTGAAACGATGTTGATCATTTTTTGTCCAAGTGTTAGGAGCAAAATCAGACGCATATTGGAAAAGGGTGGTTTGGATATTTTTTCTTTTGGCACAGCTGATGACTGCCTCCACTTTAAATTTCTTCACAAGAAAATTCATCTTTCGACCGATTGGGTATGGGTGCGACATGATATAGACGAACAGTCGAACAAACCGATATGCCTATATACAGTTAATGGAGAAATGCGTTTTGTATTTGGTATTGGTATAATACAACTTGCACAAACTCAATTTGATCCAGAGATCTTTTGCAACGTGATTAAAAATATACAAAATTATACATCAAAAACTAACTAAGCATTATCCGGCGTTGCTCGGAACAGCTTTTAACCCTCAGTCTTAAAGTCGCTGTAAAGTTCAGTTCAACAATGTTTGGGAATCAAACTATTCAATGACTACTAACAAATATAACCAGATCTTGTTATGTCATAATCTTGAAGCATGACTCTGCTAGGGTAAACAATATGCCCAGACACTTGCCAATAATTGTGGGTTTCACGGAATGGGTGGCTACTGGGTGATAAGTGGTAAGTGATGTCTAGAGTAGGCTAGCGAACATAGTCAGCTGTCAATGTCAAATTGTCGCTGACAGTAGGCAAACAAGGTGTCAAGGTGTCAACTGGCCATTGTTTGCCCATAGAGTCACACTGAGAGACACGGTCGGGAGGCCTGGCCTCCTGGTCAATCTCTGCCGTCAGTTCGAAGAGGTCAGTTGCGCTCACAATGGCGTTGGCTACACAGCTAATTATGTTTATAATCGCAATACAAATGACAACGGGACAGCAGGATAACAATGCCGGCATTGTGAATACGATATTAAGTCAGATGGAAGGCACCCTGGAGCTTCATTTGCGTGGCATGCGGGATGCGGACAATAGCTTTGTCCAGTCGCTGTTAAATCATAAGCAATACGCGCTTAGAGTGCATATTGGGCATCATCCAAAAGCAGTCGCTGGTTGGGATGCGGAGGCCGGAGCTGTCGTACACCATTTCTACATTTATGAGCAAGTGCGGCAAATGCAGTCGGACTTGAAACTGTTCACCAATCAGGGCGGTTTCCATGTGATTGCAGTAGAAGGATTCACAGGCGAGCAGGAGGAGGAAGATCAGCTTTTGCTGCAGTTCATGGAGCAGATTTGGCAACGACGTGGCCACAATCGTATCTACTATGTACAGCTGGCAGTCCAACGAGTCCTGCTCTATAATCCCTTTCTGAAGAGTTTGGTGCTCACTGACAATGCGCATAGCTTTGAAAACATTTACTCCAATCTCTACGGTTATCCACTGCGCGTCTACATCTTTGATTCGGTGTACTCAGCACTCCAAGAGGATGAGTCCGACGAGCAAGTACTGCGACCAACCGGACCGGATGCCATTGTAGCCGAAACTGTTGGCAAGCATTTGAATTTTACGCTAAACTATGCCTGGCCGGATGGCGAGTTCTTTGGGTGAGTAACCAAGCCCAGCTCAAAGACTCTAGCACTTAAGAAACATTCCCCTCTATACAGTGGCAAGCAGCCCAATGGCTCTTATAGCGGCGGTGTGGGTCGCATCCATCGTCACGAGCTGGATGTGATATTTGCCGGGTTTTTCATCAAGGATTACTTTTCGCCACGCTTGCAGTTTAGCGCCGCTGTCTACATGGATGATCTGTGTCTCTTTGTGCAGAAGGCACAGCGCATTCCACAGTCGGTTGTACCGTTATTTGCCGTCCGTGTGGATGTCTGGCTGTGCTTCCTCCTCGTGGGATTTGTCTGCGCCTTCATTTGGCTCTGTTTGCGCGGCTTGAATCTCTTCCTGCGAATTGGACACGGCCAGTTTGAAGCTGGTGGAGTAGTCAACAGTCGTTTGCATTACTTTTCCATTGCCTGGCGTATCTTTATCGATACCTGGGTGGTGTGGGTTCGAGTGAATGTGGGCAAGTTTCCGCCGTATAATTCGGAGCGGATCTTCTTGGCCTCACTGTGCCTGGTTAGCGTCATCTTTGGTGCACTGCTCGAGTCCAGTTTGGCCACGGCTTACATACGACCATTGTACTATCAGGATCCAAATACGCTGGCTGAGCTGGACGCCTCCCAAATGCCCATTTACATCAAGCATCCGGCATTCAAAGATGATTTGTTCTATGGCCATGATTCGGAGGTTTATCGGCGCCTGAACGCCAAGATGCTACTGGTGGGCGAGGGTGAGGATCGTTTGATAAGCATGGTTGCCAAAAATGGAAGATTTGCCGGCGTAACCCGCTCCGCTAGCCTGGAGCTGGGCGACAGACGTTACATTATGACGCACAAGGTGCACAAGATACCCCAGTGCCCCAAGACCTACCACATTGGCTATGTTCTGCCCAAACCGTCACCCTATTTGGATGGCATTAATACGGTGCTTTTGCGCATTTTAGCTGGCGGCCTTTTAGATCATTGGATAAGCGAGATGAAAGAGCGCGCCAAGTGGAGTATTCATCAGTATCCGGAGTATTTGGCCGAGCTGGACATGACCAAGTGGAAGGTGCTGACCCTGAAGGACGTTCAGTTGGCCTTCTATGCATTGACAATTGGCTGCCTGTTGGCCTCACTTGTTTGGCTACTCGAGCTGCTGTTCAAATAAAGATTCAATACTAAAATTTCCTTGGTTACTCACTCATGCGAAATTCGGGCGGCTTGCGAGGACTGCGGCTGGCTGGCTGAGTGATGGACTCGCGTCGATTGCGATCCCGGGCTGCGGCCTCTGCTGATGTGGTGGGCAGCTCATCATCGCCGAACAGGCGATGCGTCTCCTCCAGCCATTCGCTGATGCGTGCCTGTGTGGCTGCCTGCCGCTGTTCGCCCAGCAGCCGTGCCAGCAGCTGCTCCACATTGCGATGCTGGCCACCAGTGCCTCTGACAGCCAGCTGGAGCAGTGCACGACGCTTCTTGGCAATCAAATAGAAAATGCGATTCGGATGCGTTTGCCAGCTGAGCTCACTAACATTGGGTGTGTCCACATCGCTCTGATCATCATCCGATTGGGTTGTGCTCTCGCTGCGCTCCGTTGATGTACCGGAGGTGGTCTCGCTGCTTGTTGTCTGATGGCCATTGCCATTGGCCGTGCTGCTGCTGCTGTTCCACGTTTCCAGCTCACGTTGCACCAGCGTATCAAAGAAGGCCAACATCACCTGATCCTCCTCCATGTTGCAGGCGCTAAAGTCCTGCGACACATGATCCGTGGAGTTGCGATGCAGGGTGCGTGTGCAATAGGGCGTATCCGATGGCTCCGTCAATGCACCGTCCCAGCCTTGCTGGGCAAATGGACTCCACAGCTGTAGAATGGGTGAAGATTAGAAGTTGTCTGCTTTGGATTAAGTTTTGCACGTACCTTGATAATCTTTTCCACACCCGACGAGGCGAGCAAACAGCGCTGGCGATTGTAGCGCACCTGATTGACAATCGAACGATGTCCGGTCAGGATGACGGGCGTCGTGTCGATCCATTGATTCTTCTTCTCCACTGCAGCGAAATTGGTTAAAGCAAGTGCATCATTTAAATCTCAAAATGCCAATACTTACAGTCAACTCCATCCAAGCGCCAGATGAACATATTAAAGTTATCCGAGCCAGAGACGACCAGCTCGTCCTGCGGGCCAGCAAATGTGCAGCTCTTCATGGTGCAGGAATTAAAGTATTCATCGTGATAAAACGAGCACAACGGCTCCGGTGAGCTGGGGCTGTACAGGATGGGTGGCAAGCGGCGATGCAGGGTGAGCAGAAGACTGCCGTTGCAATTGAAGCGCACGCTCATGCAGCTGGGAGATTCAGTGATGTAGTTATACTGACACAATGCTCTAGAAGAGGATGGAAGTGGTTAAAAAAAAAACAAAACATCAAAAGGACTAAGCTGAGCAAGTGCACCCACTGAGTGTGGTGACGCAGATCCCACAGTTGGGCGCCACGTTTGGCATTCGCCGTCGCCAAAAAGTTGCCATTGAGCGGATGAAATTCCACCGCATTAAATGGTGTCCGAAACTTGGCTATGGCCAGTGGTTCAGTCTTGCCGACGCGCAGATCATAGACAATGATCTCGCCATGCTCGGTGGCCACACTGAACAGATGAGTGCTGGTGCGATCCACGCTGAGGCCATAGACGGGTCCATCGTGCGAAAAGTAATTAAGGTTCTTGCCACTGCGCCAGGGAAAAACCAATTAAAATGTAGAATGTGAGCTAGCCAGGATTGTAGAGTAGACTTACGTGCCCAGGTCGTGCTGTATGACCAGGTCATCATTACCGCCCGAGAAGATGTATGTGTTGCGTGTGTCGAAGCCCAGACAGAAGATGTTGCTGGCATGCTCGCCATACATCACATTTGGTTTATCTACGCGGAGATTCGACAGCGTCTGATCCACATGCCAGAGCAGCACACGCTTATCGTCACCACCTGAAGCCGCCAGCGCAAAAGACAAAAGTTAATCCCCACTAGCAGGATGGGAGCAACAGGTTGTCGGTCACTTACCCGATGCCAGATAGTCGCCACCCTGGCTAAACTCCAAAGCATTCACGCAACCAAAGTGCCCGGCCAGATTGCGCTGATACAGATTCTCAGCGGCCTGCAGGCGCTGCCTGAAGATGCCCGCCTCCAGGTTGCGACGCAGCGGATCCAGCTCCCGGCAGCTGAGCACATTATCCAAATTGAGGCTGCCCGACGAGCCGCCTCGCAAGTAGCTCATTTTTTATTTACAAATTAATTCGTTCTCGTATTATAGAAAAGTGCGAACCTTGCTCCACCTTGCACCTCCACACTCCTTATCCGGGTAGCAAGTGTTGTGTTTTTATTTTTCTTTGTTTTTTTTTTGCTGCTGTTGTTGTTGTTGTTGTTTTTTCTGTGGGTCTCAAAGGCGCTGCCGTTGCAATAGCGTTGTATACATTTTGTCGACGCTGACGTCGCTGCTGACGTCGTCGCCTTCGTCGCTGTTGTCGTCGTACTTTTTGCGTTGGCGTTGCGAGTACCTTTTTTTTTTTTGTTGTTTTGCTGCTTACCAATTCGATGTTCTCCAACTTGAAATGTTATTCTAATTGTTGTGCTAACTATTCGACTATTTATCTAGTTTAACTTCAATGAGCTGCTCAGGTTTATTTTTGCAGCAAATGACAATTGAATTGACTGCTTCAACGCACAACTCCCGCAGAGATTTTCTCACGACGACTGCGACTGCGACTGCGACTGCGAGTGTGACTCTCGACTGGTTTAATCATCGGAATATGCTTTAATCAAAATGAAAACAGAAAGTATGTGAGAAGCGTAAAAACAGCTGTTCCTTGAGCTGAATAGACATTTAGCGATGGGCGCGTGCCTCAAACGGTGCACGCAGCGCATCTGTTTTCCAGCTAGACAACATTTCAAGAAAGTTGAGCGTAGACCTTTTTTTTGTAGTTATTTATCGAGTGGTCAAAGTAGTATTTCTAATAAGCGTCTGTGTCTACTTTCATAAAAGTAAATATATATGTGTAATCTACTTGATTTAATTATTCAATTTTCAACCAATTGTCTAATTTTTTTAAGTTTGTACTTATTTCTATGCAGTCCTTAGTGTACCAAAATTAAAAGCCTTACATTTGTTAAAGTACGATTTTCTTAAAATGAAATTCGCTTCTTAAAAATTTGTAATAAAAACTTAATTTGGACTTTTTTGTTAGCATTATTAAGCTAACAAAGAAAACCTTTCACTTTATTCTTTTCTTGAAAATAAATTTCCAGCTTCATAAATTAAAAACAATTTTTTTTTAGTTATATATAAATATATTAATTTATTTTGCATTGCTAAATCATGGTTAGCTATGAATTTTAAATCAATAAAATCGGTTCAAAAATAAAAAAACAACATAAACAAATTAAATTTAAGTCTTTCTTTGGTTAAATTGCTTCAAATTCATCGTATTTAAATTAAAAAACAAAAGCTTCCAATGGACAACATTGAAACCACAATGGAGTCACCTGGTCTGCGATTCTAATTATGTGTAAATATTTATTTTCTCATGCTTGCTATAAAATTTAACAGCTTTACCGACGGATATTGACATAGAGCACACGCAACAGATATGCAATTACCTGCAAAGTCTACGGGATCGTCTAAAGCAAACTTTGCAGCAGCACAGTGAGATGATTCAGACATCGGTGAACCTAGTCAGGGAGATGTCCGACTTGGCCACAACGTTGGCGCTGACGCAATCGACTCTTGAGCAGCAACCCACCAAAATCAAGCGACTGATTATGGAGTTTGAGAGCCTGCACGCCGGAGACAACGGCTTGGGCTCTGTCGATGCAATGGAGTTCCATGGGCTGCTTACGGATTTTCGACGCCTGCACGAGAGCCAATTGTTGCGCGACAGCCTGATGTGCTTTAAGCGTGCCAAGGATTCGTTGGAGGAGATCGATTTGTTGCTCAGCCAGAGGCTGTTCACGGAAAAGCTCTGTGAGTCGGCTCAGGCATCGCCAAACAACAGTCGGGCGACGATGAGCGCTAGTCGCTGTCTGCGGGATAGAATTCTCGCCTTTAACCAGGCCTCCTCAGTGCAGGGCCAGAATATGCTACAAAACTTTACCACTTGCTTCAGCAATAGTTGCCCGAACATTGCCACTGCCGATGAAATGAAGCCACCGGCACTTGGATCACGCTCGCACACCAATTCCGGCTACGAGGGTGACGTGGACAGTGAAATTGAACAGGTTGCGAGTTCCAATCGGAACAGAGCTTAATGAATGGAATTTTCGAAATTATATTCGTTCAGCAGGTTCGCTGCTGAAGCAATCAACAAACGCAATATATTTGTATTAATTTTTCTATTTTTGTAAAAGTTAAAATATCTACCTACACAAAAATGATCAAGGTGTGAATATAAAATGGCGCTGGATCAGCACAGCGATTCGGCGGCCTGAAAGAAGCGTGTATAGTTAATGGCGAAGAATATAGAGATAGCTCCAATGGCCGAGCCCAGCTGCGTTATGCCGCCCACCCAGACCAAAGATTGGCCGCCCTGGGAGCGCATCACAGTCGTAATGCCCAGCTTTGTGTAACTCACAACGCCGATGAGCAAAGTCCACGCCGTAACCTGTGAAAATATAAATGATGAGCATCAAGTGAGTATTCCCAATTGGAATGCAGGGACGACAGACTTACCACCAACACCACGCCAATGGTTTCATCGTACAGCGGCGGGTAAGGACTCAATACGGCCGTAGTAAATACATAGCTGGTGAGCAGCGCTGCCAGCGACGAGAGCAGATAGATGATGCGCAGCGATGTGAAATGCAGGAACATGGCCATAAAACAGGCCACCGGATTGGCAATAACACTGAGCGTTGCGGCCAAGTGATAGGCACGCGTTCCATACGGCGCACTCGAATAGGATTGTATGCTGGGGAACATGCCGTTACTAAACAGCGAGATGCTGCCAATTAGCACCAGCAGTGCGGCATATTGGCCCCGGCTCAGCTGCTGATTGCCATCCTGGCTGTACTCGTATTTGTTACCCTTGCTAACGGTGACATCGGCATATTCCCGTCGCGCCACGGGCAGGGCATTCAGCAGCGTGTAGCCAATGTAGCTGAGCACCATCAGACCGAATAATATCAGAAAGAATAGCTTCGTGTCGAACAATGGCGGCTGTGTTTCCTTCTGATAGATTTCCTCTCCAGATTCGGTGACATTCACCAGGACACAGCGACCGGTGTCGCCGATGCCCTGCACCAGAGCCGTTACACTGGGCAGCAGACCGCTCAGGCCCTCGCCGATGAAGTACATGACCATATATTGCTCCTTGAAGCGACCCATGTACGGCATGAAGAGCACGGAACTGGTGCACGCATTCAGCGCCGTAAAGATTGTGAGTACAAAGAGGGCAACGCTGTGCTCATTGCCAGCCAGCGAGGCTGTCTGGTTGTAGACGAATGCGGTGAGCAGGCAGGATAAGGTGCCGATTGCCAGGACGGCGTGTATGGTCAAGCCATCGTTGAGCTTCCATGGCGAATACTTCTGGTAGACGGTGTACAGCAGTGGTCCCAAATTACCAATCTGCACCATGACGCTCAGATAGGATGGCAGACTCCAGCCTTCGGGCGCCTCATTCACCAGCAGCGGCAGCTGTATAAAGGTGCCATTGACGCCCAGCCATGTCCCGATGCCAAAGAATATAGCCAGCAGATCGACAAGCAGATTGCGGTTCTTAAAGACATCGATGGTCTTATGCTCCATTTTCTTGCTAATGGTGCGCCAGTTGAAGATTGGACTTAGCTCGCTGGGCTCGTCTCTGGCGCATCTGTGAATGGTTGGGATATTTCTTAGATAACATCTAGTAAAACTGGATTTAGTTAGTCCGATTTCTACAGGTTAAGTTGAGGCTCAATTGCCTAAAATTAATGATATGATTTTACTTGATAAGTACGTAAATTGTTTTTATTTAATTGTAAGTGAAATTAAACTTCGATGTGAATTACATTCTGTAACTCACAACTTGTTGATTATTGTGGTTGTTGTGGCTTGTAAAAATGTGTATGTATGTTTACCGAAGCCCTAAAGTTTAATTTATCTGAGTTACGCATAAATAAAGTAGGTTAATTTTAAAAATCTAAACTGATATGGTAAGCAAGCAATCGAAAAATTTAATGGATGTTGCAATATATACACTAATTTGTGCAAATATATATATGCATATAATGAGGAATTTACTATATCATGTACATTTTATTCTTATCAATTATCGAAATTTGATGTTATGTTATTTCTTTCTGCTATTTTTCAAAAATGGTTCATACATTTTTGGAAATGAAGTAAATCTGAAAACGAGTTACTCTAAACTTTTCTATAAATACTTTTCATGAATATACAATCCAATAATGTGTCATTTAACAAGATATAGATAACTGCTTGCGAACTGACACACAGACCCTTATAAATTCGTAAATAAAGTTGATTCTATTGAAAGCGTTAAAAATCTAATCAGTGCAATTAAAAAGGAACGTGAGAATCTGCACCGTCTTAGCTGAAGTGGGGCAATTCTCACTCGGCTTTCCACACGTAATTTTGATAACAATCGCTTATGGACTCAACGTCACAATGAACCTAAACAAATCATTGATGCTGGCAATGACATATCGCATGAGAGGTTAAATAAATATTTATATAAACATGAACATATTTACAAATGACCATTTGCTGTATGGTAAAACGAAGTGTATATTTTGAGAGTGGCGTTTAAGGTGCTTAATGCGGGTCGCATTTTAAAAACTGGTTTTGCGGTGCGATAAACAAAAAGTACAAAATAAAATCACGACACTTACCTGTCGAAATCAAGGGGTTCCGCTCCGGCGTGGTTTGGCGTTGAGAGCACCGAGTATACTGCACCGGAGTGGTGGCCAACATTGTTGGCTCCAGCCATAGTCGAATTAGAGAGTTAAATAAATAATGGGATTTTTAAATTAATTTATGATCAATATGCCCGATGTTGAGATTAGATTGTGCCGCAAATGTTTCATCCGAAGGGGGGAGGACGCTTGTAACAATGGAACAAATTCGTCGATGGAATGACGAAAATAGCAGAGGCTTTAATTGTCCGCCAATTTGGAGCGAGGCTTAATTGGCGAGAGTCGAATCCGTTACTCTCTCTCACAGTCCATTTGAAGCGAGCTAAATGCCTGTGATTGTTTCAATGGTTCCGGGGAAATTTCTCTAATTGATGTTGTTGTTGTTATTTCGAATTGGAGTCCCAGCTAATTTGTGCCATGTAAATTGTGAATTGCAAGTTATTGTAATGTTATGCAATTGCTTACACCGCAAATGCGACTAATCCATACTAACGGCAAATTGCTGATTTGACTGGGCACGTGTTGTTTAGAGGAACTCCGTTAGCCATTAGAATTTAAATGCTGAATTGCCTACCATAAATAAAGAATTCGAAATCTGACAAAATAATACCCAAACAGCTGATCAAAACTTACGGCAATAACATAATTGAAAGATAACGCGATGCGCATATCTGCCACCCAATGCTCATACTGATGACCTGCAATGTGACGTCACACTGTCCAAATTTGTATGAGCAGCGCATAAAAACTGTTGTGCTGTGACGTGCCAAGAGAGCGTTGAATAGCAAATGCTACTTGTTCATAGTATGCATAACGCACACGTGCACAACAGAGAGCGCAATTTTTACAGAGAGCGACTGCGATAGAGATATAAAGAGGAAACAGTTGTTTTGTTTGTGCAGTGTCTTTTTTATTGCCTTATTAGACTCAAATAATCTAAACCTGGAACCCATTTATACCCAAGAATTAATGAATGAATGGTTATGATAATGATGACGATATTAATTGATTGAGTCTCTTAATGTGCGCATAGCTGCTGATACCATTTCTTGCTATCCCGACAGCGTGGATTGGTGCACATGGGGCAGCGCATCAGGAACTTGGGATTGACGGATTGCTGTGACTTCAGATGATCGGCGACAATGGTGCTCAAGGCCTGTATGAAGAGCGGATGGTCGTTGGGTGCAGCCGCACGACGAATCTCCTCGACGCCCACCTCCTTGGCCAGCTCATCGCAGTACTCGATGTCCAACTCGTGCAGCGTCTCAATGTGCTCGTTCACAAAGGCAATCGGCACCAGGATGAAATTCTTGCGACCCTGTTTAACGTAACCCTAAAAAGAGAGTCGATTAAAATCGAGCAGATAGTTGCTGGTATTTCGCTTGACTGCTTACCTTGATGGCATCATCTGTGGCCGGCGCCAGCCAGGGCAATGGTCCCACCTTCGACTGCCAGGCCAAGCTGTAGGGATTGCTTTGGCCCAGCTCCTGCATAACCATGTGCACACTGGCACCTATCTCCGAGGGATACGCATCTCCCCGATTGACTGCCTTGAGTGGCAGTGAGTGTGCCGTAAACAATATGACGACATCATTGCGCTTCGTCTCCACAAACTTTGACAGCTCCTCGCGTATACGCTGGGCAAAGGTGCTGATCAGCAGCGGATGTGTGCCCCAGCGATCGATAATGCTCCACTTAATGTTCGCAGGCAGCGTGCTGTGAGTAGAGAACAATGGATTAAAAGTTGAATTTTTAACTTCGATTTGCAATATTCACTTGTCGCGGTAATGACTGAAGATAGAGTTGAAGCTGGAGCCGGATGTAGCACAACTGTACTGTGGATACTGTGAGAAGAGCACCACGCGCTCCGGTTTGTCGCTGCAGTTAAAAAAAGGTAAATACTTTTAGGATAGAACAAGAATCTTTGGAGTATATAGGGCAAATACATCTAACTAAATAAATCCGACTGGCAAACAAACAATATAAATAGTAGTAATAATAATAGTAATACATAACTGTTCTTAGGGTAATAAATACTCCGCCTTCTTCAATGCGTGATTAAATTTGAATACCTCTTTCTAGGCCAAATATTTGGTAATCGATTAACTGTCAACTGCCCTCAACTGACCTTTCGATTTGCGCCAGCGTATTCTCCGTCAACGGATTGACATAGCGAAAGCCTACATAATGCTTGTGCGGCGCCGTTTCGGGCGACAGCTTGTCCAGCTGCTCGCACATCAGCTGACCCTGCAGTTCCGTCCACTTCAAAATGGGCGAACCACCACCAATCTCTTTGTACTTCTTTTGGACTTCGGGCGTGCGACGCTGTGCTATCCATGGGCCCAGACGGCTTTGCACCGGCAGTTGGATCATGTCGCGATCCGTCATGATTCGGAGCAGATAGTCGTGCACCTGATCCGTGTGCTGGGGTCCACCCATGTTCAGCATGAGTATTGCAGTTTTGGCTTGTTGGCTGCTGCTGCTGCTGAAGCGGACATTGCTCGTGACGAAACTGGTAACATTGTCTGCAAGTGATTACATTGCAATTGCTGGCAAGGTGAGGAAATATATTTGTCTACTTACTTGCCAGCTTGCTCAGATTCCTGTTATGCAAAAACATTGTTGTCCGTCTCTGAAAATAGATCAAGCTCCTTAAGTGCAACCGAAACGGTTTCTGCCTTTCTCTTTAGTTTGCCAATTTAGTTTTACAGAAAGCCTAACCCAATTAGGAGCATTTGTTTATTATAATTTAATTATGATTTTTTCTTAACATTTAATTTTTTCTTTGGTACAACTAATTCAATATATAAAATTCTGTTTGTAAGGTAAGAAAGTTGTGCAGTCCGATTGGTAATTTTATTTAACAGCTGACGGTGCAAAAACAATAACATTTATTCAAATGTTATTAAGAATCGAGCACTAAACATTTAATTAAAAATGATTGCAATAATTTAGCATTAATAATCCTAAAATAATAAATTGAATTTATATGCGTAGAGGTTTAAACAATATTAAATAAATATATATATATATAAATATACATTTCACCGTGAGGAGTAATTCTGTTAAGTTGTTTTATTTATTTTGGTATTTTTCCTATTTGGTATATTTTACTTAATACGTGCGTAGAGTTGCCAGACTGGCACGCAAGCTCCGCCGGCTACCGTTATCGCAGTCGATAGCCTCAAATACAGCTGATGTAACTCGTCAGTGATGCAGTATTTTTTAAGCAAGTCATCCCCATTTCAGCCCTCCATTTTAAGAGAATGCCGCTCTTAGTAGTATGCTAGTATGCTGACATTTTCCTGTTTTGGTTATGTTAAATACAGTGATTTTCTCGCTGACAACAGCTGTTTTTATCAAATTTCAGAATACTTTCGTGGCTTTAATTTGTAAAAGAAAAGTTGTGTTAAAATCGCTTTTCACACATTTCGCATAGAATTGATTTGTTATTTATGTAAGAGTTGATCAAAAAAAGTAACGACCAAATTGGGCTCGCTGTTCATAACAGTGTGGTTCAATGTTAAATTTGCAGATACAAAAAAAAATAACATAAAACAAACAACAGTGGTGACAAATTGTAACGAACGACAATCAGGGACATAGTTCGCTCGTTCAGTTTAGTGAGTCATTGCCGCTCATCAATCAATCAATCAACCAGATTACTGTAATGCAAACCAAATGCAAAAAATATACATACAAAATTGCAGAACAACTAACGCGTGTGAAGTTCTGCAAATAAACGGTTTATCCATAAATAAAAAACAACAACAACAACCCCAAGTGCACTAAACACAACAAGCGTTAGCCGCTCCCCCCGCCCCCTCAATTAAAGCGAAAAAAAGTCAAACGAAACTATAGCGTGAGGGACTTTGAACGCTTGCGTCTCTGGTGGTGGATTGCAGTGCTGTGGAGTGGTGTGGGTGTTTTTTTTGTTGTTGTTGTAGTGTTATCGCCGTTTGCTTGCTATCGCCCACAAATAGCCAGCAGCGGCAACTTGCTCCAAATTTACTGGGCATGCGCACTAGGCAAAGTCGCTCAAAAAACGTTCGCTGACTGGTTCGCTCAGTGTCCAAACAGGATATTTTATTATACTGAAATTCATACCAATACACACACATCATACTCACACACACAGACAGTTATATGTGTGTATGTGGTGCGCTCTGTTAACGTAGGAGTAGCGCAGGAAATTCGCATATTCAGGCCAAAAGCGTTGCGCTCGTAGTAAAAGGCGGCTCATAAGCAAAAGCTCCGCACTGCCATTCGGACGCATTCCGTTGCCTGCTCCCACTTACACATTCTCACAGACTAACAAGCGCGTCGCACACACATACACACACACACACAAACCAAAAAAAAAATAAAATAAAGAAAGAAACATACTCACACACACATACAAACACCCGTTCACACATGCATTCACATATACACGCGCAAAAATCAATTAAACGCAGCTAAAGAAAAATTTCGGTAAAATCCAAAAACGAATTCCAACGCGCTGAATTGCAAAAAGTAGAAATAAATAGAAAATACAAGTTAAATAATGTTTAAGCTAACTGTGAAATGTGCAAATGCGAAAAAAGCTCACAAGTTACGCAAAAAATGCAGCAGCGTCGCAGTCGCATCAAAAGCAGCAGCAACGAGCAAAATGTGAAACGGAAACGAGCAAACGAACAGTGAGTGCTAAAAGTGCAAAGGATACAAGGATGCGACGTCGTGCCATTGACCACCAAACCAGCAATTTGTCATTAACGCCTAGGCCCAACAGCAGCAGCAGCAACTACTACTACTACTACAACAACTGCTACTGCCACTGCAACAGCAACAGCAACTGCAACTGCAACTGCAACTGCAATTCGCAATTGCAGCATAGCCCCAAAAGCCCAGCATTCTGCACCTGCTATTAGCGCTGTCATCTGCCGGCAATTCTCGAACGCTGCCCCGCCATAGTCCTTGTCGTTCATGTTGTTGTTGTTGCTGCTTCTGTGATGATTCTGTTGTCATAAAGGAGCGCAGGCATCGTCAACTCTCATACTGACATCCGGTCATACAGGCATCCCAGGCATTCCAAGCATCCAGAGGTCCAGACATCAGGGCTTCATCCACCAGCACTATTTGCCAGTTAACAATACAGGACAGGTGAGTGTCGCTCGCTTAGATTTTAAAGTTTTTTCTTCTTTTCAATAAAAATGTGATAAATGTATGATTTGGATATAAAATATTTTAAACTCAACGATTTCTTCAGATATAGAATAGAAAATTTATTGGGTATTGTTGAAAACACTAAAAAAAATTAAGTTATTTTTTTATTACATTTAAATATTTAATTCTTATTTCGAATGTTTATATTTTAGATTTACTAAGAGTTCAACACAAGACGTGCTAAATTCCTTTAAGTATATATGCCATTAAAATTCTGCCAGCGTCCTTAGAAGCGGAGCGGTTAACTGCTCCTTGTTATTTATCATCCTGTGCAGGGTTGGTAACGAGCGAAAAGCACCTTGTCTTTGAGTACATTTAAAGTGTATTTGCAATGTTTTAAGCTGTCTTAATTGCCAACTTAACTCAACTACGACTGATATAGATTATTTTCACTAAAAAATTCAACTGAATAAATAATAATCAATATCATCTAAATGTAAACTAACAACTGTTTAAAAAAAAGTCATACAAATCTTCCATTACGAACAAACTGACAAGACTGTCAGCAGAAATCATTAATCGCAACATTAACAGTCAACAAAACATTTCTAATTTTCATATCGTTTTCCACGAAGCCACATTTCAAAAGGCGGCCACCCAACTGCGACACATTAGAACATAAAAAAAATGTTGAGAGCTTTGCTCCAATTTTACAAGGAATAACAGAGAAATAATTTCAACAAAACGGTCAAAAATGCTGCACAAAAATTATAGAGCAAGTCATTAAAGACAAAGTAAAGATATTAAATTTTATAAAATATTTCAAACAACCGCAGCTCGAAAAATGTTTTTATTGTAAACAACTTGACATTTGAGTGCAACGTAAAACCATTGAAATATCATAAAAACAATTGCAGTACATAGACGAAAGAAATCTGTTGAACATTTAAGTAAATATTAGTAATGTCGAATATATATATATATATATATATATATAAATAACTTTACGAGTATTCGTTAATTCTATGCACCTTTAATTTTCAACCTGATTTGATTTGATTTGATTTAATCCGGTCTAATCAGTGATTACATCATATTTGATGTGCTCAATTTATTTATTGATAACAAAAATTGAATGTTCATTAACGATATACGTAATACTATATACGAATTTATAATATATATAATATAATATTATTAAATAATACACAATTTCCTGTTGTCCTCTTTAAAGAATATCCTGTTCAAGCGCCCAGTTCCCTTTTCTCTCCTTTCGTCTTTTGTATTCATTCATTGTTTGACTAGTCATGGCAACAACCTCAAGGGATGTATACACATCAGCAGACGCTATATTAGACAAATTAGTCAAATTAGTTAGAGCTTACCTTGCTGCCCCTGTGCTGCTACCAATTATGCCGGTTGCTGTGGTTGCACGTATTGGAAACTCGTTCAGGGTCCAACTTCAAGCTACAAGGTGAAAATTCCCCATGGACTACTAGTCTGGTCTCTGTGTCTGCATATATGAGTGTTACAGCAATCCTACATGTGTTACAGCCAATGGGGCGTGTGTTGGGTGTGCCAGCCTAGTCACTGAGTGGTGTTGGTGGTGGTTTTTGTCACTCGGTCTTAGGCTGGTGCTATATGCGAGCTTATATCTGTGCTCCTGTAGCCAGGGGGGGATGACTACCCATGAAACGTTCAAAAACTTAAACTTCAATAACAATGGCAAAAATGCGAAAAAAAAAACGCAATCAATAAATGGAAGTGCTCTACAAAATGATCATTGCTTCAGAAGTATGCCTAGCAAAGCGTCCATCCTCAGCTTATTTCGTTGGTAGTCAGTTCTTTTTAGTAGTTACCATTTTTGGAATACCCTGCACAAATCAAAGTTATGCAATTGTACGCAACAGCTATATCGAGATATATGTGATTTTATTTTTATGTACTCTACAGTGTAACTCACTTTATTATTCACAAAATCTATTTCTGATTTGGAAGGGTGTGAGTTTTCTTAAATTTAGAAAATATGTTTATTTTTCGGGATTGTAGCTTTCAATATGTGTACATAGAATTCTTACATTAGCTATTTGTTTAGTTTTCGCAAATACATACATACTAACATAAACTAACTAAACTAGCAGTTGAGAAGTAAATTTATTACAATTTAAATGAGTATTATAAGTGAGTACAATGGTTTAGGCCTGGATATTGGGTATCTTTCAGTTGAGCTTAACGCATATTGACTGTTTCTTCTAAGAAATTCCTGAAATTTTTTGAATACAAGTAACTTTTTGTTGTAAAAGAAGACAGCTGGAATTTTGTAGTCGATAATTGACAACATTCCTATTTTTTTTCGCTTAGCGCTGATAAGTAGGTTGTCATGAGGCTGTGCTTTCTTCTATATTGTATTTATAGGAGATGCTTATAAAAACATTTCCAGTTATGCTGTTATAAAGTTTTATTAGAGACTGTGCAATAGGTCAGTGAGGGTATAAAAACTTTTCATTGAGCGAATTTCGCAGTTGACTTGATTCTGTATTTTTTTTTTATTATATGATAAATGATTTGCAATTTTCGTTGGGCACCAAGTGGGCGGGCTGAATATGTCATTCACTTGTGCACATACACAGACAAGCACACACACACTGCCACACTCACATGACAGAAATGTGGGGTGTGCGAAAGCGAAATTCTCGCAGGCGGAATTTATGATGTCATTAAAATAAATTTTAGGCATGCGTAGACAGCGACTGTCTGCCAAATTGTTGTTGTACATATTTCTTGGAGTTGTTGTTGTTGTTAATGTTGCAGTTGTAAATGTTTCTTGTAGAATTGTAGCTTCATCAACACCCAGCGACATTTCTTCTTGCCTGATTGCAGCACTTTGTCGCAGAGTTGTTGTTACAGTTGCAGTTGCTGTGACACAAAGTACTATGTAGCTGCATTTGCATGTCACTGTCGCTGTAACATACAAACACACACACGTACACACACACGTATACGTACACATACGTACACACACATACACACACAGTGCATGCATAGAAATTATGAACAAAAATGTTGCATACCAACGGGCGCTGCTGAGGTTCATTGAATGGCGAATGGCTTTTGTTGCAGCGGATGCTGCTCAGCAGTCAGTTGTCATGTCGCAGCTGGACCCACACAAATACAGATACAGATACAGATACATATATATACAAAGCGCTAGGTATGTGGCATGCGAGCATCGCATTTAAATGTCCTCTGCACGATTGCAACATTTTTCATAGTAAACTACATAGGGGAGAGGATGTTGGGGGGATGGAGTACAACTCCCCGCACAAAGTGTTTTATGGCAGCAAAATCTCAGTTGGAGTCAAAGTGGGCAAAGTGCCAGCCGCAGCTCCATTGGCCCAGTTCGTAAAACGTGTCCGCCATGGCGACGACGATGAGAACGACATCATAATGGGCATGGCTAACTCCGGCAAGTGATACTGGCTAAAAAATCTTCTCTGCTTCTGCTTCTGTTTTAAAGCTACTTAATTAAAAATTCTTCGGCTGTGATTTTTCATGGCTGCATCCGTTGTTGTTGCTTTTGGCAGTGCGGTTTGTAAGCCTTTTGACAAAATCATATGCAGACACAGAATAGGAATAGAAACAGAAACAGAATACGAACCGTGCTAAGCGCCTGCAACTTGTGTGTCTGGGGATTTGCAGCGCTAATAACTTCAATTCCAAGAGCAAAATAATCGCATAATGGTGTACAGCATGCAGTATGCTCTAAAGTTTATCTAAACAGTTGCACAAATTCACAGCAAGGAGTTTGCTAGGAGCTGTTCTTTTTGCTTTGGCTGCTGCTTATCACAGGCCAACCCTGGTCGGGGCAGCTGCAAATGCTTTTTAATTAAAAATTATATCAACATTCATTGCTGGTGCCAGGGCAATGGCAACAGTTGGGAACGTTGGCCAACGGATCGGGTTGCTGTTAGTTGGATAATAGTTGTTAGAGCTGGAAACATGAATATGACTCTTTTGTTATGGCGACGGAGCCACAGTCAAAGTGCTGTGCTGAGCTGAACACACACACACACACACAGACAATATCTCATAAACATCATAATAAATACATATATTGTATTTAGACAATGTTTATGTATATATAAATGTTGAAAATAATTGCCTCCTATTTTTATAGAATAACACAAACAAAAACAAGACTTACTTGTTCGCCATTAGATAACAACTTTGAAGTCAGCCCGCTACAATAGTTGGTCAATGGAACGAAAACTAGTTAGAACAAGCATTGATAACATAAATACAACAATTACGCTATAGTTATAGATTCGATGTAAAATTTATTTAACATTTATTAAAATTACAACATATTTCATATAATAAAATACATTGATACATGAATAAAGATTTATTTAGAATGAATTAAACACAATTCCAAACTATTCTTCATGCTCAGAGAAAAAATAGTCAAGTCCATTGCCATAACATAAATGATGTTTTAAATTATGAACTGACGAGAGAAAAAATCCAACTGAAATTTTGAAAAGTTTTTCTTGATTTTAGAAATACTTCCGAAGAAATATTTTCCTTTCGTAAGTTTTTTTTTTAAATGGAATTAAATAAATTTATAGACTACTATCTAAAATGTGTGTATGCATTAAAATATCTTTTATAGTATGCATTTAAATGTTCAATAACTTTACATTGAGTATCAAAATAAATTTAAGCTTCATCTTTCACCAAAAACATGATTAAAGAGGAACTTATATATTGAACCCAGCACAAGCACAATTTTCAGTCAGAAATTCTTTGGCCAAAAGTTTTTATGATTTCCAGCTAAAAGGGTTGCACTTTTGTAAGTGGATTTTTGCGATATGCGCAAACGCTGATTAAAGTAAAATCGTATTTCATAGTTTGAGGGTGCAATATGTGTAGTTGCAGGTGCAATATTTGCCCGTGGCACAATTTGATTGGGGCACTCTGAGAGCTGAGCAAACAACGCATTATCAGAGCTATAAAATCCGAAAGCTACTCGATGTGGCAGCGGGTTGTTGCCTGTGGGCTGTCTTGTTACATGTTTGTGTTAAGGAACGACAGATGACAAGTTGCGGAGCGTCTGGCGTCTGTCCAACTGTCCAACACTGTTCGAAGGGCTGTCAGGCATATGCATATGACACATGCCAGAGTAACGGCAACTTAAGACTGTGCTGCAAAGTGTTTGCAAGTGCTGCTGCCTGTCAGCAGTATGATAGAGCTTCATTAAGTTTAACACGCTGTTCAACACTGACACACGAAAACATTCAAATTGTGTTTGCCTGTCGACAATTAAGTGACAGTAAATGCACTCTGTTGAGCCACATAAGTGTTTACATTTTAAACACATGCACTGCACTCTCTCACTCACGCATATAACTATCTCCCTCCCACCCTCTCTCTATCTCTTATTTTTCTCTCTCTCTCTCTCTGTTTTTTGCAGCACCCTATACGAGCAACGAATAAATCGAACTTGCATTTTTTATACAACGCTAATGAATTTTTGTAAACTTAAGACGATTACACAATTACGCCCCTGGGCGCATTTCTCGAGACTTCAGCCAGGGCCACAAATGCCCCAACTGTAGCAGCAGAAGAAGCAGAATACTTTCCCAATAGGATCCCCACTCATAAATGCAGTGGAAGAAGAAGTTTACTCGATTGAAAGCAGCTACTGGAAATTCGCGTGTGCGAAGAATGCTTTGTTGTGGACGTAGAAAGGTAAGTTCAATTTTATTTTATAAATAACAACTCTTATAAATTTGCCAAATCTGAAATATTTTGCAAAACGGTTAATCTTAATAGTTGAAGTGATAATGATTTGTGATTGAGACTGCTTTCCATTAAATAAGCTTTGACGAAGTAAGAATTTAATAAGCTTTAGCAAATATAATGAGATCAATATCGAAAACGTCGAAAATGTTTCCTTCTACCTCTTACATACTTTTACATGTAATCATTACAACCTATTTAACAATTTTTAATGGGTTCAGGCTATGAAAAGCAATTAACATCGATATTTCGTCTTTATCACACTCTTACTTAAAGCTACAATTAAATTTTTCTGTCTGACAGTAAAATGCAATTTCAAATTGAAGTCTCTAGTTTTTTGCTATTTTGTCGTTCGACAAATAGTACTTTGTAATACTTTGAACTACCATTTTTTGTTATCACGATTTCAGTAGTAAATTTAATATTGGCCACACTTGACTTTCAATGCCGCTTAATTGCAAAATCTGATTTACCTTTTCGCCGTTGCGACATTGTGGGCTGTGGGCGTGGTGATGAGCATGTAACTCAATTAATTGTGTATGTGTATCGTATATCAAAATGATGTGGGGGTTCTTCTGTGGGCTGGAAGGACGGTGGTGCGATGTGCGACACGCTGTGGTTCAGCGGTGGCGTTTATTGAACTTTAATTGGAGATGCCACGAATTTTAATGCAATTTTTTATGGGTTGCACAACGTAATTTAAATTCGCTGAGTAACTGAGCTTCAATCAGGGTTTAACAAACTGGCAAATAAACGAACACCCTGTTTAATAAATGCTTGCTATAATTATTGAAATTTTTAGATTGGTTAATTTAACATGGGCAGCAGTGTCAGGAATGAGGCAACTCAACGAACTTTAACTAAGTTGTTGTCACACCCAACTCCCTTTTAATTAAAGCACTTAACAAAGGTTTTCGCTAATGCTCGTCTAACAATCGCCGAGCTCTAAATTCTTATTCTCAGGTAGACGAAAGGCTTAGTCGCTTAAGTCTTTGTTGTTCGTCAAGTGAATTTGTCAACTTTAAGCAGCCGAGCATCGCCTGCATTGCCAAACAGTGGGTGGCAAACTCACCTCAAATTTCGCCAAGTAAGAACTAAGCAACGGAAATAGCTCCAACTTAAGTCAGGCAAGCTGCAAGTCGCGCAGTCAGCTAAAAACAAACAAAACTTCATCACAAAGTCAAAGGCGCTGTGCCCTGTTGCAATTCCCTCAAGATGCAGGCGACGAAGCCTTAAGCCACAGCCACATCCTCATCGCACTGCTGCTCTGCATTTACTTGATTTATTTTGCAGGGTGCTTCAACTTGATTATGACTTTTGTAATGATTTTATGGTAGCCATGATGCCATGTATGTTGGGTTATGCTAGATCGGTTGTCGACTACCATAAGTCGAGTGTTTGGAGTATTCAAATATGGTAATATCATAAGACAATGTATTTTTGGCTTGATTTATAATTACTACATTTATTTATCGTATATGCTGGCTAGAGTAATCCGATCTTTTTTAGGGTATGCAATATTCATAAACTCTATGCACTATTTTGGTTTCGTTTATTATTGCTAGATTTTTCATTTATGCCGTGCAAAAACTTTGACTTTGGTGCTGCCGTCAAAAACTTTAACAAATAAATTAATTTACTCGACGAGCTGCCGCGAATGGAAGTTGCCTCAGCAGCGCTTGCGGGTCGCTTTTGCCGATACTAAGGACGATCGTCCTGTGGGAGTCTGGCTGCTAAATAATTGAATTTACGCTTGCGGCACATTTAGCTTTTGCTGCGTTTGTTTTAAATTGCATTTTCCTAGCGCTGCTGTATTTTTTTTATTTTGTATTTTTTTATTTAATAAGTTTCGCATCAGGCCTGGCAAATTGATTCCTTAAACCAGTTTTAATTGAAATGCAACGCTGCCAGGCAATATGTCAAAGTTGTATGGAAGCAATCTGATTGCCAGCTGCGTGCCACTTGAAAAGAGTTAAAGTTGCTCAAGTGAAATGCTCAGGCATTTCTATTGGCATACGTGTGGCAGGGCAGCATTTGCTGCATGCCACGAATGACGAGTGTTGAATGGCAGCCAACAGGCTTCAAGGCACTAAAATGCCAGCATATCGAATTACAATGCCAACAACGGAAGCGTAAACGGGCGTGGCTGCAACTGACACCATTTGGCAAGTATTCGAGCATCCGAGTGAAGATCCCAACATTTTTTGGGTGACAGTTTTGAACGGTCTGTGATAAATTTATTGAAATGCATTTCCCAACGCTCGGGCGACTGTAAATTATTTTGATTTATTCACATACCAAGAGCTGTACACAGTGGCATATACGTGATGCGAAGGAAGTCAAATACTTAATGTATTTTAATGAAAACCGACAGCTTAAAATGCCGTTATACTTTCTTTCTTTTTGCTGTCTATCAAATGTCAAAATATTTGCATTTTATTACACAGACAGTTGAAAAACAGGCAGGCGGCTGGATCTGTGTAATTAGTTGACAAATTGTTGGCACTTTATGATAAGTTGATGGAAAACAATTTTGTATATCTTGCGTCGCCTAGTAGACAATTATCAAGTTGCTGCTTCGCTGGTTGCGTTAGCTCTGAAGTTTTGTGCCACGTTTCAAGATGGCGTAGAATGCGGCATTCTGTTTATCTCACTGTAAGTTTTCTCTGTGTTCCTCGAGGGCCATTTACAAATAAATGGCGGACATTTAGGTAGCGGTAACGTCAGCCTCCAAACATCTCTACTTCTCTTTACATTCCTTGAGCTTTGCCAACAACAGTTGGTGCATTTGGGGTGCTCACTGGATACACACACAATAACACTGCGCCAAGCACAATGTTTGCCTCAATGCAGATAAGAATATTGCTTCAGTTGGGGATGCTGCAAGCACACAGATACACACACACACACAGAAGCAACAACTTTGCCCAAGACACTCCAAAGCATTTCAGTTGCTGTTTTTTGGTTGTTGGAGCAGCTCCAATTTCTGTGTTTTTATTTTTAAGCTACTGCTGATATAGGAATAGGGATAGGGAATATCCAAAATTGTACGTTAAATAAAAATAACTGAAAATTATAAGTAATATAAATTGTTCAATACTAATTTCTCTTTCTTACGTTCGTTGCTCTCATATTTTATTTTCGTATTTTATCTACACATAAATTTCGCGTTTAATGAACTATATTCGAAATTTTTGGTCTATATACATAGTCCATTAAGCAAGCAATTTAATTTTTGTCTTGAATTCTTTGCTCAAATCAGTTGTTCCTTTTTAATATCTTCTAGTTATATAATAGCGGAAAACATAAAAGTTTGCACATAATTTTTTTTTCCCATCTTAATGGCTTAGTTTGCTTACGTTGTCGTTTCCGAATGATTTGGGAAACTATTAATTGGCAACACCGATGTTGCAGTAGAATTTTTAATTGTTGCAAACGCAGCGCAAAAGTTTTTCTACCCATTTGCTGCTGCTCTTGGTATTGTTGTTGCAGCTGGCACCTTAACAAGCGTACTTTGGGTGCATTGAATTGGAAAACTCAGTGATAGGAAGCCATTGGCTACAGTTGCTGCTGATTATGACTGAGCAAAAAAGAAAAAAGGGAGAAAGCGCAAGAGAAAGGAGTGATTTCCAACTGCCGCTGGAGCAGAGACTTGGTTTTTGGTGGCAATTCAAGATAGGATTGAGTAAGCAATCGGTTTTTCTATCCACATATCAATCAATCAAAGCAATATTCAATCAACTAATCACCAAACTGTGCTTAACAGATTGAAGACAGCCTTCAGCGCTGATATTAATGATACCTCTTTGAGAGAGTGCTGAGTTGGGATGTTGTCATATATTCCCTTACTTTTCCTTGCTGTCGACTTTGCATCTTTCGTTTCATATGTCTTATTGATACAATTGGAGTTTGTCTCTTAACATCATAACGACTGCCTATGCAATCTATTTGCTAGGTGTTTATAATTGTTCAAATACCAATTATAAATTATCTAACAGCAATCCTTGTGTTTTGCATAGAATCATCTTTCCCCTATTGACAGGCAAATTTTCGTGAATGTCTAAATAATTTCAGCTCAAGTCCTCAGTCTCTTAAAAGAAGAAGATATCATGTTTCGCCTGCCAAGTGGCCGTCAGGTCTTATCCAACTGACTTTTTTGTACCCGTACCAAAACAGGAAAAGCAGGTTATATTTTGTATACAAGAGTATACATAAAGTTAACATTTGCACTATTATTATGGCGATACAAAAGTGAACAAATTTAATCAATGTTATTTTGAATAATCAACTGAATAATGCTTTTGTTAGACTCGACAATAGGCGACACATTGAAAAGATTTTAAAAGTTTTGTTTTATTAACATTATAAATAAGTAGCGGTCATTTAAAATTGTCACCACATTTCGCTTGTGTATCGTTTTCTTTTGAGATGATGTTAAGCGTCATAATATTTGACGCAACTTTTTTATTTGAATACTAAATGACTTTGTGAGATAAGTAGATTATGTGGTGGCTATAAAGTTTGGCTAGTCACCTGGCACAGGTATTCTGTAGTCGAACATTTGAGCTCTGTTTATGTGCTGGCTGTTGTGCACGTAAAATATTTGCCTGTCATTGCACAAAACATGTCGCATTTTTGTCAAAGGAAAACGTGTTTATAATTTCCGGCTGGCAGGCGAGTGGCCCCAGCATCACAGTTACAAACTACAAGCTGCCAGAGACAGTTCAATTATTGATTGGCTTACCTATTTTTGCATAACAAACTGAAGCACATCGCAACAACAGCAGCAGCAACACCTTGCTTCGTTTCCTTAACTTCCGTTCTGGAATACGTTCTGAAGTAGAATGAAAGAATGGCTTAGCCCAATGCTAACATTTTAATGGCAATGCTGCGTATGACACATTTTATGTTTGGCCAAAAAATAAAATCATGAACTGACGCTGCATACA